TTTCTGTAAAGGATCTTTGGCTATTATAATGGAATGAATTTGCAGCTTTTAGATGCTGCTTGTAAGTGTCGGCTTGCATGGTGATGTAGATATACAGTAGGCTTGCCGAGAGTCCTTTTCAGGATCCTCAATCCCCCTCTCTCTCTCTCTCACACATGGTGCACCCGCAAGCCTACTGTATATTTGCAGCTTTTGTTTGATGTCTGCCTGACTTGATCTTGCCTGACATTGCAACCATACATGCAGTCAGATGGAAGATTGCTTTACCTATAATTTATGCCATGCAAATGTTTTGTTCCATGCTCTTATTCGGCTGGATTAACATGCCAGAAGAAAAGATAAAAGGGCTCCTGTGTATTTGCACGAGGCAGATGGACTAGGGCCTGTAGAGATGTGATGTACCAGTAGGGAGTGGCAAGATTGCCAATAGATAGAGTCTATAATATACGACCGCCTGTTCTCTTATGTTTGATATTTTGCCTGGATTTGAATAAAGCACAAAGACTTGAAAGTTAAAACAGAATGAGCTTGAGCCTGCGTTTTTATTTTTTGGTTTCACTACACTACTTGCATCTGTCTAACATTTTTAATTATACATATATGTAATATGTTCTTGTAATAAATTAATTATAATACTTCAACCTGTACTATTTCATTACTGTCAACATTTGCTTGACATTCTGAGCACACTCAGCCTAGTTCACACATTAAACATTAAAACACCTGCAATTGCACGTCATAAATCTACTGGTGTACGTAACACGCTTCTCAGATAATTACTCCACAGTCAACAACCTACACTAGTAAACCAAAGTCTAACTTAAAATCGGGATCAAACGCTTAAACTTAACGTTATCGCAACTCTCAACCCAACCCTAAACGCAAACACGGGACCATGCAAACCTCAACCTATATTGTTGACCAAAAAAAGCCCAGAGCAAATGACGATTCACTAAAACCGGTTATTTTGATAGAAAGATCATAGAGTGTCAGTTGGGGACGCAGTTCATTGCATGGTTTGATCAAATTCCTGTTTGTATATTTTACTTGACTGCTATTAAACAAAGCATGTGTATGCTTGTAAGTAAGCAATAAGGGGACAGACGGCTTTAAGTTTTCTCCAAGGGACTTGGAATCAAGTATTAAAGCTTTACCAAAGGGCACTAGCGCATCGACTTGGTTTTTAACCCAGGACCTACCGGTTATGAGACCACTGCTCTACCACTGAGCCATCGCACCTCCTCATTTCTCCTCCACTTATCTCTGATCATTACAAATCCAAAATAAGGCTTTGCACATGAGAGATAAAAAAATTCTTTATGTGCAATTGTCAGCAATTGTTAAAAAAAACCTGTACATACAGAATGAACTTCACAAGTTAGCTCAATTGCTTCTTTGTATCTACTGACTTGAGTCGGCAACAAATCATTCGTTACCCGGCAAATCCCATTGACTATCCTATCATTGATAATGGCAAACTAGTTTAACCATAATTTGTATAGTTATGGGCGATCTCATAAAAGTAAATACATGCACGTGCGATACAGGTGGTAAAAAGAAATCTGACCTTTTAAATGTCAACACTAAGAGGAGCTTAAACCATGTATGGTAGCATAATCGGTCTATGATCTAAATATAGGTGATCAACACCAATAAAGAGGAGACGACAAACTATAGGCAGGGTAGGAATTTTGGGCCAAGAAGCAAAGCCGTATAAAAGCTACAATGTTCATGGATAACCAGTTTGTGAGTCATCAATTCTATTTGCTTCGCATTGTGATCATTTTCACACATGACTTTTGCCCTTTCCCCATCTCCTTGCATGTATCTGAAGATTAAACCAATATTAAAACTGATTGATTGTTTATGCATGATGGTCGGCCCTGACAGAAGATCCCGCGACAGCTAACTACATTCCTTGTACATAATTGGCTGGGTGATCACAGTGTTGGATTACTCTCTCTCTCTCTCTTTCTCCGCGCCTCTTTGTTTCAATCGTATTCTTTCTGTCTCTATATCACTAAATGTCTCTTTCTCTTTCTCTGTCTGTCAGTCTCTCTCTCTCTCTCTCTCTCTCTCTCTCTCCCTCCGTCCATCTATATGTCTTTCTCTCTGTCAAACCCCCTTTGCTCTCTCTCTCCCTTCCCCCCTCTACCTCTCTCTCTCTCTCTCATATTCTTTCAAGTCGTCAGCCTTTTGAACATGTTAGCCATTTTAATTAGTCTGCTCAAATTGAGCAATGAGGCATGAACAACGGAAATAATTTACTAGTCTTTACAATCAGATTATATGGGTGCTATTATAAGCATACCGGTACATGTTGACGCAAAGGAAAATGTTTACCTACAGTTGTATTGCCTTGCAAATAACTTCCTCAATTCAAGTTGACTTCGCACTCCAGATGGTCTAAATCATATTACCGGTAAATGATAATCATGCCCATTGTCTGATATAGATGTCAAATGCACACAGAATGACACTTTAATGGAGCCATGACTCAGATCACGGCTGTTTAATCTAGAGAGAAACAAAACTGTAAATACAGATTGAACAAAACACTTCACAAGGTCAATTGCTTCTTTGTAACTACTGTACTGATTCGACATTGACTCTCCTATCACTGATAATGGCAAAGTAATTTTATCAGAATTTGTTTAATATGGGTGATCTCCTTTAAATGACTACAGGACTCATGGACGTTTATGCCAACTATGCAAAAATAGTATAGGGAATTATGGTAAGAGTTCTCGGCAAAAATAGCAGTGCCTCAACTTACAACATACTTTTGGTATTTTGTTTACGGATAATCTTACCAAGTAGAATTTATTGTATAGAATATTTGTGAGTCATCATCTGTCTCTGTGTCACACCCATTTCCTCTATCTCATTTTCTCATTCCCTCTCTCCCACCCTCACTCTGTCTGTCTGTCTTTCTATCTCTTACTCTCTTTACATTTACTGGTATCTCTGTCTTCTTTTCTTTCTCTCCCTCCCTAGTACCCCACCCCCTTCTCTCTCTCTCTCTCTCTCTCTCTCTCTCTCTCTCTCTATTTCAATCATATTCTTTGTCTCTTGATCATTCAATCTCCCTCTCTCTCTCAGGCAAGGTCATTCACATTCTTTTAATCTCTCTTTTTTTAAAGGAATAACTTTCTCTCCATCTCTCTCTCTCTCTTTCTCTCTCTCTTTCTATAAATATGTTTCTATAAATCTTGAACTGTCCAAGGGCCCTTTTTTTCTTCATTCACCCACTCTCTCCCTTGTTCTTTCTGTTTCTGTGTCACAACAATTTCCTCTCTTCCTCCCTCCCTATGTCTGTCTGTCTGTCTGTCTATTTCTTACTCTCTTTACATGTATCTCTGTTATCTTTACTTTCTCCCCGCCCCCCTTCCCCTCCCCCTCTCTCTTCCTCTCTGTCAACCTCTCTCTCCCCTGTCTACCTCTCTCTCTCTCTCTTTCTCCCTCTCTCTTTCTCCCTCTCTCTCTCTCTCTCTCTCTTTCTCTCTCTCTCTTTCCTCCTCTGTCTTCCTCTCTCCTACCCTCTTGAATTGTCGGCCATTTAATCTGCTGACATTTGAATCAGCCAGGTATGAACAATGGAAATCGATGATACCGGTCTAAATATTCATATTTAATAACTTTGGGGCTATCAAGCATACATGATGGCACAAAGGGAAAGGATTACCTTCACCGTGAATCAACATGTTTATTAGGGATGGAAATTTCAACAAAATTAATCAAAAATAGAAAAAAACATTATGTCTTTACACAATTAATTGTTGGATTTGTGTGTGCAGTCAGCCAGTCATGGAAATATGTTCCCTCTTTTCCACAAATATTTGTCATGACGCACAAGATTTCATACCAGTTGCATGGCCTTGCAAATAACTTCCTCAACTCAAAGTAACTTCAATCCAGATGGTCTGAATCATATTAACATAATAAATGGTATTCATACCCATTGTCTGATATAAAGGTCAAATGCACACTGAATGATGCTTTAATGAAGCCTGCCTCAGATAATGGGCTGTGTAATCTAGCGAGAAAAGATGTGCTTAATTTTGTAACAGCATCTTTTCCAGATGCCTCATTTTGCTCACTCTGCAACTAATTAAATGCATCCAAAAGATGTGCAGCTCTAGTAAACTCTAATCGCGATCCAATATAATAAGATTTTTGCTTACAGTCAGTTTCACAATAGCCTATATGTAGCTGCAGATTATAGAGGAGGTGGTTCAGACTGTATAGGATGTTTTGTAAAATATATTGTAATGCCTGAGGCTTAATAATCACATTACTGTTTATTATCAAGACAGAGTTAAATGGTCCTTTTTAGTTAGACCAGTGCAATTGCTTTTGACATTATAGGGATGATGATGATGGTGATGATGATGATGATGATGATGATGATGATGATGATGATGATGATGATGATGATGATATTGATGATGATGATAATGATGATGATGATGATGATGATGATGACGATGACACGATGATGATGATGATGATGATGATGGTGATGATGGTACAACGACGACGACGATGATGATGATGATAATGATGATGATATTGATATTGATGATGATGATAATAATGATGAAATTAATATTAATGATGATGATTATGATCATGGTAATGATGATAATGACATTAATCTTCATTTGCCATACTTAATAGCTATTATTATAATTATCCTACACTTACACCGATCTCAGACAGACTGAGAGACCGCCGCCTCCGTTTCAGTGGTCATTGCTGGAGGAGCACGAATGAAATCATTTCACAAATTCTCTTCTGGGAGCTCTCAAGGGGCAAACGCACCAGAGGGCACCCAGCAATGACTTACATACATGTAGACCAGTTAGAAAAAGACACCTGTCTACCAAGGCAGGAATTCCCAAAGATCACAGAGAATAGAACTGAATGGAAAAAGCTTGTCAAATCAGTGCGAGTACACTCAACCTAGAAGTAGTGTCCTATAAAAATTTCCCACTAACCTGGCTGGCAATTCAGTTCGTCCGATCCATCATTACAGTTATCCATATCGTTGCACACATTCCCCTCAGGAATACACTTGAGATTGTTACACTCAAAATGATTGGCAGGACAGTCTGGTGGATAAAGTCAGACAAAAAAGAAAGAAAAGAGTAAAAACAGAAGTCTTCTTTTGTAATTTTCAGCAAATGAAATAACCATGGTGCATTTGCGTACATAGACAATCTGTCTGTCCTCAATCTGTGGTAGAGCTTATGACAGTTCCCTCTTTTGCTCATTGAATACCTCGCGGTAGGCTCTACCATTTGTTATTTTTTGTTATTAGGCAAAGTAAGGTTAATGGTATAGACCATTTTTGGTCATGCGATTGCATTGTGAAAGAAACATTGTGGAATTGATTGGTGTGTACCGCAAGGTTCTGGAATCATCAAAATGATAAGAAATTTGGCCCAGTCTTGGTAAAGTTACAAGCACTGTACACAGAAAGATGTATATGGGACTACGCGATATCTATCCAGTCCGGATAGATATGATAATTTACCAAATATATCAATTATTAGGCGATACTTTTTCCCTGCAAAATTTGTATCATCGCGTATTAGTCAAAACATATTCTTTCACATAATTGGTAATAAGAGCTTCCATTTCATTTTTTGAGAGGGGTGTGTTTCCAAAACTGGTCTATACCTTTAAGCAGGGTATTGTATGAATTATTTTAAAAGACAAAAAAAGAAGTTTTGAATACATTTCTTCTTGAAATGCATCAGTATAAAATAATCTCATATGACCTGCACTTGGCTAGGAGTAATTTATTTGGATATAATAATTTGATCATAACATTATTAAAAGAATACATAGTTGGTTTTTGTAGTTTATCAGCTCTAGACCTAAATAATACAGAGAATCTAATGTAGATATTCCAGTCAGAGTGGATCTCCTCAAATTTGTCTTTTATTATAAATATGATTTATCATGGAATTGTTGTTACATTTTTAGCTTGGGTGAATTCAGATGGAGGATCAGAACCTTTATTCATCCCTATCAATGAAGCTAAAGAATGGAAACTAGAGCGGAAAGGGGGATAGGGTTTCTGGTTGCTATTCAAAACCAATCCCCTGCATGATTAGTATCAAAATCGGCTTTCAATACCCCAAAGTGACAAATAAAGTTCATGTTATGACAGTTCAATCACTGCATAATACATATATTATGGTTACAGTTTACTGATGGGTTGATAGTAATAATGGTATGGCGGTGAGGATGGTTAACCAAGAGAAAGAAAAACGTTTCACACTTTTTTCTTTCCGCTTACTGAAGGATAGAACATACAGTACACCCGAGGGTGTTTCACAAAGATCCTACCTCAAACTGAACTCTAAGTTGGACTTAAATATTATGGAGAGCCATATTCAAAAGCAAAAATTCAAGTATTTTAGACTTTTCATAAATTCCACATCAAGAATATGAAATCTCCTTGATAATAGACAATATTAATGATTTGAATCAACATTTTATGCCTTTTAAAATAAACTTTTACAGAATATTTTCAAAGATGCTCTCGGCTGTCCATAGTCTTTAAGTCCAACTTAGAGATAAGTTCAACCTAGGATCTTTGTGAAACACCCCCTGACTCGGTTTTACAGAGGTAGAAAGTGAAAATTCAAACAAATGTAGGACCTTGGTTGAGTTTGCATAGGACCCCCGCGGCCTCTCCTACGACACAGTTATTTACCCCCCAGCCTGGGTGGGGGCAGTCAGCTAGGGACTGCTCGTTTCCAGTGCAGCGTACATCGTCCATGAAGATATCGACAAGGTTTCCATGCCCGAATTCACCCACGATGTAGACATCTGATGCACCTCTGTTTGGGAATAAAAATAATAATAATAATTTAACAAATAATGGTCATTTGTATTGCATTATAAATAAAAGAAGTAAAAGCACTTACAATGTCAAAAAAACACAGGCAAAAAAGACTACCAGTAACTCTGTGGGAAAAGAAATGGCGACAGATTTTCTATTGTTCGAATTGAGTATGGTATATTATTAAAGATTTTAGAAGCAGTAACACTCCATCGTTTATCAGCAGTGGAAAGAGTTCATACGGGAACTACGAGTCTAGAAGTGTCATTCATGGAACAAAGATTACTTGTGGGTAAGTAAATCATGTCGGTAAGGGAAAAAAAACTAGCTCTGTGGGAAAAAAAATGTTGACAGATTATCTATTGTTTGAACTGAGTATGGTATAATCTTACAGATTTTAGAACCAGTAATGCTATATTGTTTATCAGCAGCGGAAAGAGTTCATACATGAACTACAAGTCTAGAAGTGACATTTATGAAACAAAGATTACTTGTGGGTATGAAAATAAATCATGTTGGAATAAGAGGGGGCACAAGGCTAATCTGTCTTATTGTGACAGATTATCCTTAAGCTAAACAGGCTACGGTATCCAATAAAGTCTACTACGACAGTAACTACAACTACTTCTAAATGTGGCCTACAATGTGGAAACAAGTCTTCAAGTGCTTGTATGTCAAATGGTCTGGCAAGAATTGCTCCAAGGAAAACATTTTACACCTAAGTACCATTCCCAACTCTAATCCTTCACCTACATGTAACCTAAAACCAATTGGAACTCCAACCCTCCCCTATATCTTTGACAAATAAAAGCCCATAGCCAACACGGCGTTCTTGTGATCTGCTGGCTTTTTTCAAAACTGTTCTAAAATTGTACCAATCACCTGACAAAAATAAATTTGTGTTTCTATAGTTATCAACCTAAAAAAAACTTTACCTGGCATTGCATAGGTAAATGGTTAAGGAGTATGAATAAGATAAAGGATAATGTAAAACACTGCGTATAGGGCTCGTCCTACTCTATTCTATAGGGAGTGCTCTTCTCTATGTGAGTGCATACACAGGCGTCAACAAGTCTACTCAACAGGATGTTTTACTGATCACTGAGATTGTAATATTTGAAGCTCATTTGAATACGTATAGCCACAAGGAACCCCATACATCAAAATGTGTTTGGGTGATTGCTACACTTTAACACAGACCTATTTGACATTGCTTACTACTACCCACTACCCAAGTCTCGCCTATGTCAATTGATAAGCCAACTATAAACACTGGATATCTACATATTTCCGGCTTTGACTGGATTGGACAAGCCGCTGGAGCGTACGTCAGATCACAGAGTCACTCACCTCGTGTATCCTAACTGCCTACAGACAACATGTCCGTCGCTCAAGTCCCATTCGTCGTCGCATACCAACCCCCACTTGCCCCGGTACTTGACCTCCACGCGACCTTCGTTTGGAGCAGTTCCATTGACGATACGGACTTCAAATTCTTCCAAGGTACCTACGGAAATCATTCAGACAATACAGGAGTATGTGAGACAGCTAGGTTACTAAAAACAGAAGTGGAAAAAGCAGTTCCATTGACGATACAGACTTCATATGCTTCCAAGGTTCCTATAATAAGTAAATCATTCAGACAATACAGTAGTGACTAGTGGGACAGGGTTACTCAAATAGAAGTGGAACAATCAGTAATTATAATAAGCCTATTGCACCCTACACAATAAGACTATGATCCAATTTTGAAGGATTATGCAACAGCATTTGGGAGAGTTATCCATACCTATGTCACGATCTTTTGACAAAACCGACAATTTGAGATTTTCATAGAATTAGTGATCTCATATTTCAAAGATTCATAACTTTCTTATTACTGGTCCGATTTATGTCAAACTTTTGCAATTCTGTTTCCATGTATCTTATTTTTATGCTTTCACACAAATGAACTTATCACAAGGGTTGGCTTGCCCTTCAAAAGCAAGGAGGCACCATTTTATGATCATGACAAATCTGACTATTGGGATGGTAAAAAGTGAATACTGTACATACCACAGTTTGATTCATCTGTGAAGTCTCCACAATCATTATCACCATCGCAAAGCCATTCGTTGGGGATGCACCGGCCGGATGGACAGGGATGATATTCAATGCCGTTTGCATTTGTGCAATCAGCTATGGGAAAAAGAAAAGAAAACAAAACAAAATAAATTGGCTCTAAGACATCTTTGCTTTCATTTTGCATCAATTTCTTCAGTGCTCATACATTATGAAAATGTAGAATTTTTATGTCAAATAACCTCTGACATTTTGCCCATCTACCCTCATATACAATCAGTTTATCCAATAGTGTGAAGTACATGTACAATTCATGAATTTTCAGATTTTTTTTTCCGCTAGAGAACAATGGATTGTATTTACTAACCTAGTCATTTTTAAAGAGATACACTGTATGCTATTGTTTAAGTGACCCAAACATGTGGAGCATTGTAAGCAGCACTTGTAACTGCAAGGAAAAGGCAATCAAATACTTTTGGATTGAATTAGAATTTGAGTACCGTATGTTTTGTCCTCAAGTTTACATCCAAGGGATGAATCTCTTGGTATTGCAATGACAACACAAAAGTCAGACAAATGAAAAAACTTGTTTATGGACCTCTTTACATGACATGTACTATTTATTAAAAGAAATGCAATCTCTCTCTAATGTACATGTATGAATGGAAGCACCTGTTTACAGTATTAGATGAATTGGATTCAAAACTTAACCCGTTGACTGCTGAACTTTCTCATTCCCATAGACTTAACACAGGGACAACCCGTAAAAAATGGGATAGAGGGAGTGACGTATCATGGCAAATACTGGTTAACGCCATGTACGTCTTCTTTTGGACAACTGCATGTAAAAGAATGGCCTTGATTAACTGGGTCAGCGCGCTAACATTCACGAAACAGACCGAAGTTCTCCTTATGCTTCGGTTTCGCGTATGTTGCACGCACGTGAATGCTGCGGTCGCGTCGTCCGTAGTCGTATTATACCCGATTGGCCCCGATTAGGGCCACGGGAAAGACACATAGTCTCGTCATGATACACTCCCTTTAATTGATGGGGATCCTTCTGTCATCACACAATTTAAACCACCACCAAAAAAAGTTCTTTCTACTTCTCTTTTGGTGCCCTTCACAACTTACTTGTCTGGGAAATTCGCTCATAGTGGGCAGTGCCCTGACGACTGAAAAGCCTTCCATTTTGCGATCGGCTGACGTTAAACAGACTGCATGTTCTCTCAGCTGAGTTGTAATCAAAGGAACGGCACACAAACGTCATGGCCGAGACGCAGAATCGTGCGCACTCGTCGGCTGTTTTCTCCATGTAGATGACAGCGGGCTCCCTATTTGGAAGATATTTGTCGGCAATGATGGTGAAGTCATCCATTGGATCGGCTGAGGAAAGAAGAAAAGGAAGATAAAAATGACAGCTTAGGTGTTTCAAAAATATTCAAAATTTGTATTTGTCGAGATGTGAAGGTTGTGGGTTTAATCTTCAGCAAAACTTTAATGTCTTTTAGCAAGGCATTTCATCTTCATTACTCTCCCCTACTAACGTGCTGAATGGGTACTGAGCCAGAATGCAATGGCCTGGATAATAATACCATACATGTGTATATTTGTTAGGCCCTTAGAGAGATTGTACTTGGGCGAACAGGCAGAATGTAAATCTAGAATATTATCATTGTCATTATATTTGGTTTGATGTAGTGATGATTGTTTCACCCGACTGCTAAGAAAGCATATATGCTTGTAAGTATTAAGCAGCCAGGGGACTGACGGCTTTAAGTTCTCTCAAAGGGACTTGTTAAAAAAGATTAATGCCTTACTAAAGGACATGAGCGCATCGACTTGGTTTCGAACCCGAGACCTCCCGCTTACAAGCCCGCTGCTCTTACACTGAGCCGCCGCACCTTCTCCATCTCATACATAGAGAACTGACAAAGTAAACGCCTCTAAGAAGAGAAGCTCCTCATCACAGATGAAAAAACTACACTCTCAAAGATCTTTACTAAAGCATCCAAACAGCAAGAAAGGAACAGCTTGTGATCTCTAGGAAACATTAAACTCACACTTGGGTAAGCGGACATACGTTTTGCCTCACATCATGTACATATTTATCAAATGGAGCATGATACTAATACCCACTTTTAAACATGTACATGTATCTGTGGACTATTTCTAATATATAAACAATAGTGTTCTTTGCTCTCGCTGACGTTTTGTTTCAGAAAGTTTTAAATTAAACAATAGGAGCTCAACAACACCACTAAGTTCCTTTCTTCTTATTTTTGATATTGCAAGTAACAAGGCTCCGTTTTCAAATTGGAGTATTAAAATGTACCTGGACTACATATATGCAGCCAAAATTTGAGCATTGTCTCTGACACATTTAACTTGTATCATTGACTAATTAAGATGATTTCTAAAAGTCAGTAATAAACACGAGAGTACTCAAAGATGGCTGATTTCATTCTGTCTATAATGTCGCACTGCGCAGACGCAGCTTTACTTTAAACACTATTGCTAGACCCTCGTTGTCTAGCTTAGAGTAGTTACGCTTTGTGGAATTCAGACTTCATGATAATAGCCTATTGGCCTTTCCGAACCATCCTCCATGACGTATGACAGTACTACCCCCACTCCGTAAGGGCTGGCATCGCAGACCAGGATGAGAGGCTTGTTGCTGTCATAGTGCATCAAAATTTGCGCCAACTTCAGGCCTTCTTTCGCTTGTTCAAATGCTTTCCGCTGTTTTCTCCCGGTGGAGCTCTAACATGGTAGACAGATTTCGCAAGAACTTTCCATAATAGTTCAGCATACCAAGTACGCTCTCAGTTCCTTGATGTTCATTGGTACTGCCCACTCGCTGATTGCTTTCACTCGGCCCTCTGTTGGCCACAGCCACTCTGCGCTGACCATGTGGCCCAGATACTGCACTTCATGAGTAATTCGCATTTCGTGTTAGACGCAGTCCTGCTTTCTTCAGTCTCTGAAGAACTTGCTCAAGGTTGTCGAGGTGCTCTCCTTTTGAACTGCCTGTCACTAGCAGATCATCCAGGTAGACAGCGACTCCTGGAATCCAGACTAAGAGATTGTCCATCGTTCGCTGGAATACGGCTGAAGCTGTTGATATTCCAAATGGCATTCTTGTATATTAGAATATATAGTCCGCGATGCGTATTAATCTTAACTAATTCGCAGAGTCTAGAGACAAGACTAGTTGCTGGTATGAGTGTGACATGTCCAGTTTCGTGAATTGCTTCCCATTCACGAGTTTGGTGAACAACTCGTCGATCCTGGGAATCGGATAAGTATCCGTTCTTGCAGCATTATTCACTGTAAGTCGATAGTCTCCACAGATCCTAATAGTGCCGTCAGGTTTGTCAATGGGAACGATTGGTGCATCCCATTTAAAGTACTGGACTGGTTCCAGAATCTTCTTGTCTAACAAGCGATCTATCTCTTGATCTCTTGACGAGCAGGTGGCACTGGACAGGCTTTGACTAACTTTGGTTGGACAGCCGTATCGATGTCAATATCGACTTCAGCTTGAGCTTGTAGCTTGAGACAAGACTTTGTAGTTGGTCTTTGATGATGATGAATACCTCCTGCCAGTGTTGCCGGATAGCATTTTTATTTATTCATTATATTCAATTCATTTTCATAAAAAACACAGCAAAAGCAAATAAACATACAAGTATATACCGGTATACATACAAAGGCAGAGAATGTTCAGTTTACAAGATAACTTAAAATGAATAGGAGCTAGAACAAAGGAAAATCCCATGGTGGCCTTGTTTAAAAAAGTTCCCCTGAATATTTTACTTAATATTACTGAGTATATGTTAGTTAAAGATATCACAAAAGACAGCGATAAACACAATATAAAGACAACAAAAATATGTGTGAAATAATTTAAAATTGGAGGGTGCATAAAGGTTTGGAAGGTAAATTCAGTTTGGAAGCATGCCTCCAGTCTCGTCCTAGAAGGCTTGGCCCCGCCTCCTTAGCAACCAGAATTCTTAGCATTTCTGTCTGCTTATGATTGACAGGCACAAAACATTCTCCAACTACCAGACTTTCCATTTATTATAAATACAAAGATTTACCCGGCCACCATGAAGCTTCAACTCATTTCCTTTCCACTTTTTTCACTGATTAGTGTGACACAGAAAGCAGTATCTATCTCCATTAATATGAATTTTTCCTTCACATTCATGTCTACTGTGAAACGATCCGATTTCTTTATTTCTCTTGAAGTATGGTAGAGAGTGTACATTCACTTCCTCCTCTTCTTCCAGGTGGTGGCTTTTCAGATTTTTCTCACTAGACCATGACCGGCATGGTTGTGTTTTCTTCCCCGGCTTATCCTCATAATGACATATTTAACTATGTATCATTGAGATGATTTCCGAGAGTCAGTAATAAACACGACAGGACACAAAAATGGCTGATTTCACTCTGTCACACAATGTCGCACTGGGAAAGGCGCAGCTTTACAAGAATGCAACATCAATCATCAAGATAACATACATTACAGATTCCTTTTTTTTTCTGTGCTGAAAGAGAATTTTTTTTTTTTTTTAAGTCACTGCATCTTCTTTACAAAAAAATTATATTAAAAAACAATTAGAAGAAAACTCTACTAGGAAAAAGGTAACTGAAGTTTGAGACTATTTAGAAGGTATCACAGTACAGTGCATGAAGATTGAAGGTAAATCGCCATGGTTTTTTTAATAATGTGTAAAACAATGGCCACTGCGCACCACAAAGGAGTGGTGCTTATTCACCGAGCTCTGTGTGTTGTAGGATTCAGAAATGTGAAGTGTATCTTCACATCATAATTTAAAAAAATAAAATCGCTGTGGTTTTCCCCACATCATATCTGAACAAGCCACAAAGAGCTTAATCCATAATTTAAAACCAAAAAAGATAGGAAGCAATTGAAACTCTTCAGTGATTTCTCACTTCTTGCCCACATTCAAGAAATGAAGGACATGAGATGGAAATAGGTTTTTCCAATGTCAGTACCTAGGGGGAGGCCTTTTGTTGATTTGGTAAATGCGACAATAGCCACCCACTTGCTCTGTAAACATGGAAGTATTTGTTGAGAAAACACTTCACGTGCCTTTTTATTAGAACTAAATATGTATCTTTGAAGAAACAGAAATAGAGTATACAATGACATCTGTGTGTTGTAGGATTCATTAATGTGAAGCGTATTACACTTCACATCATCATTTTTTTTTAAATGCTGTGGTTTTGGCACATATCATATCTGAACAAGCCTTAAAGAGCTAAATCCATAATATAAAACCACAAAAGACAGGAAGCAATTGAAAAAACACTTCAGTGATTGATGAAGGACATGATTTGTAAATGCGTTTTTTCCAATGTAAGTACCCAGGAGGAGGCCTTTTGTTGATTGGGTAAATGCATCAATATAGCCGCCCACTTGTTCTGAAAACATGGAAGTATTTGTTGAGAAAACACTTCGCTTGACCTTCAACTGTATTTGGTCTAAATATGTCTCTTTGAAGAAAACACAAAAGAGTATACAAGGTAATATGTCTCTTTGAAAAAACACAATAGAGTATCCAAGGTAATCTGTCACTATACCGATATAACTTGCCATTCAGTCAAATTTTGGTGTGTTTTTTCATTTTCTTTTTCTGCTATGATATGCGCATGCAAGGCTGCAAGGGATATTCATACAACGCACATATATCGATCTTCACAGGAGAGGAGACAGCTTGATATTATATGCCAAATTGCTTACTTCATGATGGATCAATCATAAATCATTCAAAATTAAATTGACAATCACGGAATTCATTTCTACTTCTGGTTATAGATAAATAAATTGTTTAATTACAGAACTAGAAGTTGTACAGAGGGGATAAGCTGATGTACATGTACAATTAGCACTCCACATTTTTATATTACAATAATTGGACTAAAAGCCAGGTCTACTTTGAGGCTACTGATCTGGAAAAGAAAAACTATCAATTATATAATTGTGTTAACCCCTTGCCTACTGGAACCGGGTGGCTACTGCATTAGCCTACACGAATGAATGAATTAAATAATCAATGAGTTAAGATATCAATGTCCTTTAATGTCGAAGCGAGGTTGAAATGTACATGTATTCATGCAAACAGCCACAAAAGGGGTAAATTGGAAAACAACCAAGAACCGTGAGAAATTAATGGTTTAAAAATGTATCCCATAGAAATAAGCAACTCTGGTTTGAAATGATTCAATTCTTTTCAATTAAGTTGTCAACTTGTCATGATAACAAAATACATATATTTTGGGGTATTTTGAACACCTGGCTGGCACTACCTCAGGTGGTGGAAGGCATAAAAGTGATAATGCGTCATTTACAAAGTGCTATTAATACAATCTATTCATATCACAGTTCAAGGCCGCCATTCACAGGATCAGCCGACATAAATGGAAATTCCTATTTTTACCAGGCCCTAACATCATTTGTATAGGCCTATATAGGTCATCACATAATGAGTCATATTTACACAACTGAAAGGTTATCAAGAATGAGGCAAAATTAAGAGAAATATACATGCATGTTACAATGTCACCATGGAAACACATGTTTCATGATTATTTCATTATTATTACTGGTACAATCAAGATTAGGATTTACAATTAGGATTACCAGTGTGATTATGACTACACCTATGATCATAATTATGATTGTGATTATGACTATTATGATTTTTACCACTATGATTAGAAACAAATATGTGAGTGATTTCAAGTTTGGTGTTCGAAGCTGTGAGAACACCAACACCAGCCACAACACCGAAATTTGAAAGAGCCTGGTGTTGAGATTGAATTTGGAAAATATGACGTATGTCCGGTAGGCAGTGTTAAAGCTGGTGTTGAATGCCGTCTGCTGAACCGAGTATCATGGTTGGTGCTGTTGACGATTTACGTTTAATTTTCCCATTCACCAACACCAGCCTCTAGGGATTGGGAAATTCATGATTTCAAGTTTGACGTTGCTATCAACTTACAATGTACGTATACTGTAGGTAACAGTCGCCGTTCGCTTACAGCTACTATTGAATGATTAAAACTCATAGGTAAATCACTGAATAACAATATTTTTTCTTTTGAATTTGTCTAATGGTTTTACATTTGCTAATCGATATGATGTAATTTATTGGAATTTCTGAATGGATTATGCTTTAATCGCATGACTTTTAATCTGTAGAGTAGGACGTCACTCGATCGGTGTTGAATCTGGTGTTGAGCTATCGATAACGTGATCTGTATCGTCCTTCTAAACGGACCGTCAGTGTTGGAGCTCACTTCAGCAGCCTTTCCACGCCCTCAACACCAACACCAACACAGAACACCATATTTGAAATCACCCAATGTGCAGCATAATCACAGGAAAAAAAGGGTTATTTCTGATTACTTTAAGTTGTAAAATTTGCCGGATAAAATGACCCTGTAAAAACAACACTGCACCAGCAGCCACCTGGACAGAATATGTCAACATGTGTACATAGCAATTGCTTCGATGTCATATACCAAGCTCTGTGAAAAATCTGGGTGTATATATGGCTTGATTCTGGCCGACACATATATCTAACACATGCAAATTTGCCTTTTATATGTTATACAATCTCCATCACATTTGTAGATATACTTATAGACCAGAAAAGCACAGAAAGCCTTGCCCATGCATTTATTAGCAGTAGGCGTGATTATTGTAATGGATCATTGTTTGACTTGCCAGATTCACAAGTAATCAAGTTGCAGCATGTTCATAATGCATGTGCAAGACTTGTGTCTAATGCCTCAAATTTTCCCATACTACACCTGTTTTAATTATTTTACTTTGGTTGCCAAAAAGGCAGAGAATTGTATTAAAAATAATTTTGCTTGTTTACAAAGCGTTGAATGGTCAAACCACATATAATTTATCTGAATTATTATCTTTTAAATCACATCCTTACGCACGTAACTTGCGAAGTACACGGGAAAAGCTGCTTCTAAAGCTACGTACCTCACACAAAAACAAATTAAAGTAACTCTTGGAGATTGTGCTTTCAGTTGCGCCACTCCAAGGCTTTGGAATAACCTATCACTGGACATAAGAAAAGCCTCATCTGTTGCCGATGTCTCAAAGTTTTGTTAAAGACGCACTCGTTTTCAGGAGTATTTGAATAGTTTGTACTTTTTATTATGTTTGTATTAAAAGTAGCACTGTTAGGAGTTTTGTGTTCATCAAAGCGCAGTCGAGTATATTTATATAGTGGCTGCGCTATCTAAATTGATCCAATTAGTATTATTATTATATGCACATGTTGCATTATGAACCATGGGAACAGCTGCCAGCTGTTGAAATTAATACACTGGGGTTAGCCACATGGTCCCCTGCACAAATTGATTTTTATTTTTATCACTTGTCAACTCAGATGATTATAAAATCATAAAAGTAAATGCCCAGACAAGATGCTCATGTTAGCCCCAACTGTTCATCACAACAAACAATTCTCTTAATCTAAATTGGTAAACTCTGCACCTAAACAAGTAATCAGTGCTGTATTTATCACCCCTGTATTTGTCAATGGTTTCCTCTATATATATATATATTACAGAAAATGTGTTGTCTGTATTAAGTCAATTAAATTAATCTTCTTGTATCGTAAACTTGCCTTTTAAGGCCAGTAATATTTATATGTTAACGGAAGATTTAATATTGTGCTCAATGATTTTCTTAAACCTAAAGAGAAGGCACTAGTAAACTTGCCAGTCATGCAAGTAACATCTAAATTTAGGGGCTTGTCTTGTGCCAATATAAGTAGCCACACAAGGCCAGGCAAGTGAAAGCTCGATTTTTCTGTAACTAATCATGGATACGGAAGAACCATGACATGACCCTCTAGATGCACAAAGCCAGAAGCGACATAGATAAGTTGGCATTTGCCCAATGCTCTATCCCAGAATGGAACAGCCTTCCAGAGAATACTCCTGAGACATCTATAATGCCCTTATATTGCTAAACAATTATTTCTCTTCCTCACACCACTTGTAATCTTTAGTTCATCTTTGTGATAGGCTATGTTGCCCTTTGAAGATTAACAGAAGAAGAAGAAGAAGTGGGTTTGATGGCCTTGCATCAATTTATCTCTCATGGCACAAAATGGATCAAGTAATGGCTGCAAGACTACAAATTGAATATTCTGTACCAACAATCATTGCACAATGACCTCAAACAATACCTTTGTGACAGGAGCTAATTATTATTATATATGCATGATTTATTGAATAAAGAACAGATTTATAATTTGTGTATATAAGTTTTGGTTGGTAATTTATAGTCAGACAATGGTGCGCTTAGAAACAACCGCATTAAGCACCTAATATGTTGTGTGTTATTAGGATGAAATTTCTAAAGAGACTTACGGCATCCGGTTTCGTCACTCCCATCTGTACAGTCACTTTGGCCATTGCACTGGAATCTCTCAGGAACACATGATACACTAAATAAAAGAGATTTCAGGATATGTTGGACATGATTTGCATTAGAAAAATAATTTGAAATACATGTACATTCATGAATACATTGCGAAAAAAATGATCCTTGAATTACCGTTTGATTAAATTAATGCTTCAAAATATACAAAACCTGGAACAGTACAAGAGATTAATTGGTCAGCAGAATATAACTCTCAGTATCACCAAATAAGAATACATACATGTACCTCAATTCTAAGGTACAGAAGAAATATATATTTTAAACACAAATTGTATTACCAGTGACAATGCAAATGTTCCAGATCTTTTTTGCTCTTTGCAGCAGAGGGTAAATATGAAACTTAACCTTCGCATGACATCCAGCACACATTCTTGTAAGTGCACAATGATATTCAAGCTGAAGGCACAAATACATAAGAAGAACTCCACTAAATCTTTTCATTTCATTCAGCTGTGTTGACATAAACCCCAAGCTAGACTCGATTGTGGAGATCTTTACCATTGATTATTAACAGCTAACCAGAGGTCTATCACCATTTTTGACGGCATTATACGACAGCGATCTAATCGCCTGTGAATCAATCGCTACTGGGGTAGGAGGACTGGAATGCTAATTGTTCAAGATGAAGAGATATGGATATAATCAAGGTAATTGCCGTGCTAATGTTGTAGGGTGTGCATGAAAATGATCTAAAGTGACACTGCATGATAGGGTGATAGGGCTTTTATGAATGGTTGCATGGATACATTTCTCTACATACCGGTACATAGTGGGTTCTACAAGTATCTTCATCTACATGTATACAAACATGTAGTGACACTGATAGGGTGATAGATTTTTAAATGGTTGGATATACATTGGGTTCTACAAGTATCTTTATCTATACATACAAGCATGTAGTGACACTGATAGGGTGATAGAGTTTTTATGGTTGCATGATACATTGGGTTCTACGAGTATCTTTATCTACATGTATACAAACATGTATTGATAGTGATAGGGTAATAGGGGTTTTGAATGGTTAGATACATTTCTCTTCATAAAAGGTTTTACAAGTATCTTTATCTACAGCTACATGTATACAAACATGATACATGTATGGTGGTCATGAGGATAATTTGTAGTTGTATGATACATGCTCCTCGACAATTTCTTGGCAGCAAATTTCCAACACAAACCAAATGTTCAGCTCCAATTCTGAACCAAACGCGGCTATACCTAACCCCTGAACCTAGCCTAAAAAACCAACGGCAATATGAATTGAATGAAATTACACTGTAGATTGTCTAATAAATAACAATACAATCAAACTGCTCTTAAGTTTATCAATATACATGTGTGTTCTATATATATATACACATTTTCTCAATACATCAAAAAACTCCTCTTTTTTTTGTTTTTGAGTTAACATCTTCGAACCCTCCAATGTAATCAAATAGAATAAGATCAAAGGGCAACGACATTGTAATTGTGTTTCATCGTACTCTAAAGAGACAATTATTGATGAAGGGTAAACAGATTGACGGTTTATTGCACATGAATAATCAAGTGAACGGTGAATAGATAGTCTTGATGTTCAGACCCACCTTCCAGAGGCACACTCAAATTCTGCTGCTGTGCATGAGACAGTTGGTTCTGGTGCTAGGGTGCAAGAAAAATGAAGAGAAAGACAGGAATAAAGTCAAATTATAATAAAAGTATTACACATATAAGCTGTCAATAGATTCTTCAGGAAACAATACACTTAGGTTATTTTCAAGACACATACACACAACATTTCTCTCTCTCTCTTTCTCTCTCGCTCCCCCCCCCCCCTCTCTCTTTCTCTCTCGCTTTCCCCCCTCTCTCTCTCTCTTTTTCTCTCTCTCTCTCTTTTTCTCTCTCTCTCTCTCTCACACACACACACCCACCCACTCCCTCTCTCTCGCTTTCCCTCTCTCCTTCTTTGTCTCTCTCTCTCTCTCTCTCTCTCTCTCTCTCACTGGTATATCTGTTGACTATGGCTATCATGCTATTCATAACCTCCCTGTTTCTAGCCTTCCCAATGATCTCTATTCCTTGGTCTTTCGCTCCTCTCTCTATCTCTCCTCAAGCCATCTCTGCAGAGTGCAGACTATCGAACCATAATAATACACACAATAATGAAGTTGTAAGATCCTTATGTTGAGACAATTATAACGTAAACTCCCCGTAGCCAAATTGAAATACTCTTGGATGGAGGTATTGGGAGTGTAGTCTTTAGACAACAATGTGGGTTTTGCCAGCGATCGTCGCTGGAGGGGAGAAGGAGAGATTGACAGGTTGCCATAGTAACCCAGACTGCACATGCCTGCACTGAGCTCCGCGACATAGTCAATCAATGTTTAGAATCACAAGTTAATGAGGTCAGTGTCTAGGAATAATGGGGTCAGTGTCTAGGGATAATGGGGTTCTGTTTTAGATCATGGAAGTAGGGGAAGTTGAATGACTGAAAGGGAGATACGAAGTGTTACATGTACTACATGTACTACATAGCATTTTTGTTTTGTTTCATATCTGTCGTTACTTTGCATTTTTGTAAGCACATTATGTTGATATTTATGAGTGGATAAATAAATCAATAAATCAATTTGTTTTTATGATTGTTTACAATTCATGATGCAAGGGATAAACAGAAAAAGGAAAGATTTAGAGGTGAAAAGAAGAGAGAGAGCCAGAGAGTGAGCCAGAGGAGAGAGAGCCAGAGAGTGAGAGGATATATATATAGAGAGAGAGAGAGAGAGAGAGAGAGATAGCGAGAGCGGGGGAAGAAGGAGAACTTAGAGATGCATTGGTATGTGGGCTGCAATGTGCATCAGGCCTCCCATCTCCCTGGTTGTACTGATACAATGAAAAACCGCATGTAAACCGCAAGTAACGCAAACGCTATGTGTGGTAAACAATTTTATCAGCTGAGTTAGGCCTCCTGTTCAGCAAGCAAAGAAGGGGGGTATTTCAATACCCGACTTTATAGCCATTTACTCGGGTTTGCGAGCTACGAGGGTTAGACGTAATGATAATGTAACACAATGCAAGTTATGTAGTCATTTGTCATTTACTCCATGGCCAATCATGCAACACATCTACCTGACACATATATGCAGCCTATTATAGTGATGTAGTCTTCACATAAAGACTGCTTTGCTTCTTTATTCATCCTTAAACACTTAAACTAATATCAAAACTATAAAAGTACTTTGGATTGGGGCTGAATACAGTATAAATATACAATTAGAATACAAGAGAAAAATGAACTCTCAACTTGTACTGGATATACATTGATCTATAGCAGTTTTACCAGAAGTTCACAAAGTTCATTGGATAAGAGCATGTATTGAGTATGAGCAAAGAGCACGATTGATATTCCATTCAACAGTTCTTAGTAGCATAAGTATAGTCATAGAAAGTCTACCTGGAGTAGGGGGAGACGAGGGTCTCCCGTACACCTCCACCTCACAGAAGGACAGGTAGTCCTTGCGAGGAGAGCCAATGTGCACATACTGCCCTCTGATGGGGCTGGGGCAATCGATCCTGATGCGCTGGTGAGGGGTGCGGCTGGCGGCATTGGTCATGGTCCGTGTGATGCGACCACACTGGGTGCGTGTGGATGGGTCAGTGGCCGAAGACCCAATGGTGACCATTGCTCCACGCAGTCTCTCTCCTATGGAAGGAATGGAGGTGGAACCAGATCGTCATTACTATCATCCACATTTATGTATTTTTATATATTTCTGAAAACATAATTACACAGGATACACAAAATCATTAATGAAACTGTTTTCCATCTCTGACATGCTTTTCACAACTACTCTCATGATAAATTACATTATCATCGACTTTATCATCAAGGTCATCATCATCATCATCATCATCATCATCATCATCATCATCAACATCATTATTGTCATCATCATTATTCACATCATCATCAGTATCAATATGATCATTAAAATGATCAATACTCCATGAACTATCTCTCGATCTCCTCTCCTACAAACAGGAAGAGTGGAATTATAAAGTCATCATCACAATCATCAACTACATCACTAACAGTATCATTAAAATCAACATCATTATCATGAGTATCTTTATCGTTTTCATCATTGTCATTATATTTCATCATGATGAATGATGTTCCATGCACTCTCTCTCTCTTTCTCCAACAAAGGGAATGGAGGGGAACCAGGACATCATTCCTAGTATCATCTAGTACTAATAGCATCCAAACCAACACCATCATCATCATTATTATCATCATCATTATTATCATCATCACCTTCACCATCATCATCATCATCATCATCATCATCACCATCACCATCATCATCATCATCGTCATCATCATAATCATCATCATCATCACCTTCACCATCACCATCACCAGCATCACCAGCACCACCATCATCATCATCATCATCATCATCGTCACCATCATCATCATCAACATCATCACCTTCACCAACACCATCACCAGCACCATCATCAACATCATCAACATCATCACCATCATCATCATCACCATCACTTTCATCATCATCATCATCATCACCACCACCACCACGACCACCACCACCACCACCACCACTTTCATCATCATCATCATCATCGTAGTCATCATCGTTATCATCATCATCATCCCCATCATCTTATCACCATTACCATCTTATCATGAATATGACTGATAACACCAGGCAGTCTCTCTCCTACCAAATTAATACAGCAGATCTAAATCATTGTTATCATCAACATCATGACATTATATAGTGCCATGCAGGGATTTGAACCCATGACCTTTGCACCTCCAGTCACATGTTAAAGCCAATACACCTCTACAACCCTTCCTATGCTTAGAACAAAGAGTTGTTTCTAACCTTGGACATCTTTGTTGACTATGACCACTGTAGTAACATCATAGGCTGCTTCCAGATCAATATACCACCATGAATTTGCTCTAGACTCTACAGAAGAACATTAAAAGGTACATTATGACTAACTAAAATGTCAGATTCGCTAAGAAACATTACCATCACCAGAATCTGCCCTGTACTCAACAAGACATTAATCAAGAAGATATTATGGGGATTTTCGATGTAGGTCATTTTTAAAGGAATAAGTTTAAAATTGTGTGTTTTCTAGAAAACTGTACTAACAATCTCCCCTACATGCTCTACAAGATAATGACAAGTATGTAATGAGGAGGTTATTCACAAAAGGTCATTCACAAAAGAACAAGTATAAAATTTTGAGTATTCTAGAAAACTGTACTAACAATCTCCCCAATGCTCTACAAAACCACAATGAAAAGTATGTTATGAGGAGGTTATTCACAAAAGGTAATTTACAAAAGAATGAGTATAACATTTTGCGTTTTTCTAGAAAACTGTACTAACAATCTCCCCCATGCTCTACAAAACAACAAGTTTTGAGGAGGTTTAGGTACTATTCTAAAGTTTCAGATTTTCCAAGAAAGAATACAACCACGAATAGTCCCTGGACTCTACAAAACAACGTTGAATGGTACGTTATAATCCTGATGTACTTAACATATCAAGCAAGAACAAATTCAGGAATTCTAGATTGTCTGATAAGTTTATGGTTTCAAATAACTCAAGAAACTATAAATCTCTTTAATATTTTGAAAAACTTTCCTCTACTTTAACATTAAACATTTATCTTTGCTCTATCTTAGATTGCAAACATTTTTTAAAGGTAAAGACCAGTTATGGTCATGCGATTGCATTGTGAAAGAAACGTTGTGGAATCTATCATAAAAGGTTGATCATCTAGCATAGATCTAGCATCTGCAAGGTTCTGGAATCATCAAAATGATAAGAAATTTGGCCCATTCTTCGTAAAGTTACAAGCACTATACACAGAAAGATGTATATGGGACTACCCTATATCTCTCACAGACCATGAGAGAAACAAATTTACCAAATATATGAATTAGTAGGCGGTTTCCCGGCAAATTTTTTATCATCATGTATTAGTCAAAACATATTCTTTCACATGATTGGTAATGAGAGCTTCCATTTCATTTTTTGAAATTGGGGCGTTTCCAATACTGGTCTTTACCTTTAAGTGAACAAATGTTAAATTTCATGCATTTAATGAATAATTACTGATTCATGAATGACATTTCTATTAGCACATGGTCATCCGGGTAGCATACTTACGAGTTCTGGAGCATGAGCCTTGATCGAAAGAGGGATTTGGGTTCCCATCGACGGCCAGGCCAGCATTAGCCATGATACCCCCTGAGGTGTGAGTAGAGCTCTGAAACGCAGGCTTCCCGCGAGATACTGGTATCGGCCCTAGGGAAAATATGGGCATAGACAAGTGTGAGTGAAAATACGACAAGAGAAGATTCTGAAATATGCCCATTTTCAGAAATAGACCATTTTACTAAATGTAATTAGAATGTTGAATTTTTCTTCCCAAAACCACTCATGGTCAAGTATCTAAATTAATATGAATGTGTATATTATCATCAATAAAGACCAGGATGATGCAAAGTACCCATGCTTAAACAGGGCCATCATGAAAGAACGATGTGTGACTGTAGGGGGGAAATACGATAAACAAGACAAATTTGACTGGACTGTGTCTCCTATATGCCTCCGCCCTAAATTCAGTATAGGAAGTGGATGGAATTACTTGAAAACAAAATAACATTTGGTTTGCCACTAGCTCCCGGAACCAAAGTAGTGCCAAAGATTTAGTAGGCTTCAATGCCAAGGCCAGATCCTGTGTCCCACACTGGATCGGGATTGAGAAGTGACTCAAGCAGAATCCAGACTGCCCGGTAAGTCTTGATCAAATTTTAAGGCCTTCAAAAGCAATGCATTAGTAACTGATCAATTGATAAGATCAGGGGGGAAAGTGGGTGCTAAAACAAAGTAGGTTTTAGTGAGAGTTAAAAAAAAAATAAAAAAATAAATAGAGTATAAAAATATTAAAACAATCAACAACAAAAATCTGAGCGCTTGCACAAGGCCTTCAACCAAGTCATAAAAAACGGTACCTCACCCCCACCTTCCCCTAATTTTAAACCCGATTTACATTGATCTCAGGTACTGTCCATTTTGGGAAGAAAAAAATCATGATAAAAATAAGAAAATCAGGAAGAAAAAATAAACCGGAAAATAAACAAGATTTACAGTATTTATATCAGTTAAGTGACTGTGGGCATAATTGCAAAGTTTGCAACACTATTCCAATTTGTTAACACTTCAGGAAAACGTCTTTATCATTTTACTATTTCAAGACAATTTTTTTATTAATGTGTGATATTGACTATTTGTTTTATTATTATGTAATTGTCAAGCCTTATTTGACGTTTACTGATGCATCATTTTCCATATTTGCATTGAGTATCTATTTTCTTTATGCTTTGTTAATAGCTATGCCACTTAATATTTACTTACTATTGTTATGATATTTCATCCTTAAACATAAGTCATGTATAATGGTTGTTATTTTACCCGACTGCTAAGAAAGCATAAATGTTGTAAGCAACCAGAGGACCAACAGCTTTAGGTCCTCTCCAAAAGACCTGGTAATGAGGATAAATGCCATACCAAAGGGCACTAGCAAAATTATGAGACCACTGCTCTACCAACTGAGCTATCGGCCACCTCATGTGATGATGGACATAGATGATTTTCAATTCAAATCAATTTTCTCACCCGATGGAGCCTGGGTTGGTGGCGGCGGGCGAGCCGTGGGTCGGCTGGTTGGGGGCGCTGTTGAAGTTTCGCAAGTTGAGATGTTACAGTACATCCAGCCACTGACCGTAGAAGAACCAGAATCCTTGTAGTAACACCAAGGGCGTCTATCACTGTCCGGGTTGCGGCAGAAGTTATGATTGCCAATGTCTGGACAGAAATATCAATTAATTTATCAAACAATGTATGACATTGAAGTTTATTAACAACAACAAAGTGTATGTAAATCATAAAACGATGCTAGGCAAAACAATAAAATACATGCTGTACATAATGTACAAAACAATGAATTACTGCAAAAGCCTACATAAAACACATTTTTACAAAAGTTCCAAGTTGTTGCTAAAAGAAAACCAAAAATTAGTGCTAGTCAAGATCGGTTTTCTCTGTTCACTATATATCAAATAATTCTTTTATGACAGAATATATATAATAATAATAATAACAATATGTCTTGTTTATTCAGGGTAGCCTCATCAGTTAATACCAAGAACCCTGCAATCACATTGATCCTATTTTTTATAAAATATCAGATTTATTTATGCATCAGATTTATTAGCATACATGTACATGTAGTTCTGGTAGGCATTAACCATGCAATGATGTTTAGTGCATTGATTTCTACAAATGGGTCGGGAGAGACAGCTGTAGATAAAGGCATATTGCAAAATTTCTCGTTCAACTTCAACTTTGATTTGATTTGATTTGATTTATTGGTTTCTGCATCTTGTTGCAATCTGAAAACACTTCCAAATTTGTGACGTTTTTTTTTCACGCAACAGTTTCTGACTTAACACTATCTACAGTGATTCTGAATATGACATCACTTATGCCCGATGAAGATGGTGAATTTCAGGAAGACCTCAGGCTTACCTCCGTCAGGAAAGAGGACCGGTGTAACCCCTACATTATCCATTGCTGCTGCTTGCCAGTTGGTGCACTGGTGTCCTTGCGTTGTAGTGAAGCTGAAACCCCGGTAATTTTCCCCAGTCCCTAAATAACAGTTGGGCGTGGCTACATGAGGAAAGAACCAGACAGAAATCACGCAAGGTTATAAGGTAAAGATCAGTTCTGGTCATGCGATTGCATTGGGACAGAAACGTTGTGGAATCGATCAGAAAAGGTTAATCATCTAGCATGTAAGTATTGGTGTGCACTTCAAAGTTCTGGAGTCATCAAAATCATAATAAATTTGGCCCAATCTTGGTAAAGTAACAAGCACTGCACACAGAAAGATGTATATGGGACTGCACGAATGGCGTCAGGGCTACTAACCTTGATTTCCTAATCTTTCTATTCTCATCACTCAGCCAGTATACATTTTCTACCAAAATTGTTTGGCAAATGACATTTAGTTGTAATCTTGAACATTCAGTGTAAGTTTTCATTTGATTCTGTGAGTCAAGTCAAGTCGAGTCTTTAAGTCAGGGGATTCATACACAAATGACTGAAATTATACTGAAAATCTACATAATTATCTTTGTATTAAGTTATCTTGGAAATCTGATGGCTTTTCCAAATAAAATGTCAGAGTCGTGAAATGTTTCATCTCTTTACAAAAAGCTGAGTAAATCCAAGCTATTTTAATTGTCTAATACTTGATCTACCACATCTTAAATGTCAGCATCTTTGATAACTGTTATAGAGCTAATAGCTCTGCCAGAGCTTGAATCAGCTAAATCAACACAGGAAATATTTTATGTCAATTTATGTTCACAGTTTCATAATACAATTAAAAAGATATTTGGTAACTTATGGGAAAATACAACTTTGGACTTGCCTAGCTATTAATGGCACTTGTTTGGCAAGTGGTCATAGACATTTTTAGAAGCAGTGGTTGTAGACATTCAATATACTAACATCTACAGGATTCACACTAGGTATGTCTTCATCAGCTTGAGATTGCCAAATAGCCCGCTATTTCTGATTTGGGAAATAATCCTGAAGTTACAAATCACGTCTTCACCAGTGTTCACGCATAGTGCAAGTCTTCGGGCTGGTGAAGACGCACTGGACAAAGAGCAGGATATTTTGACCAAATATCTGGCTAATTGCAACTGCGGGCTGATGAAGACGCAAATTAGCTGGATAATTTGCTATCGGGATAGTTAAAATAGCGGGATATTTGGCAACCTCGAGCTGATGAAGATGGGCCTAATGTCCTACCTGGACCTCTCCTGGAAAAGAAGTCATAGGGATTATCTGGGAAGTCACTCCTGATGGAAACCTGGCTCGGTGACTTGTTACTAAGCCAGCACCTGTTGGCACGTCGGGCAAAGTCAAAGGAAGCGCAAGGCCAGGCAGCGACCAGACACCTCTCAGCACATTCCTCCATCGATACTGCAGTCAAGGATTCGATGTTGTTACCCGGCATCGCAGAGTTTGGTGTGATGTCAAAGAGGGCGATCGGACCTGTGGAGAATAGGAAATGGAATGATATTGTTTCCATATCTGGAGGAATTTTTGACAATTTTGAGGATTTATAAGCATATTTTATCATTACCATGATCATGATCATGATCATCATCAATATCACCAATCCCTATCATCATCATCCTCATCATCTTGGTAAACATCACAATCATCAATATCCCCATCACCTTAATCACCATCAACATCATCTTCATCATCAATATCACCTGTCACCATCATCCTCATCATCATCACCGTAAATTCATAATCATCATCATCTTCATGGTCACCATCAATATCACCATCATCATCATCATCATCATAAATTCATTATCATCAACACCATCATCAATATCACCAATCATCATCATCATCATCATAATCATAAATTCAAAATCATCATCATCTTCATCATCATGGACACCATGCATCAATATCACCCTCATCACAATCATCGTACTCATCCTCATCATCATTTTGATCAATATCACCATTCATCATCATCACCATCATCATCATTATTTCATCTCCATCATCCTCATCAAACAATGATCACTCACCAATATCCAGCCTCTCGTAGTAATTAAACCGTGTGCTGAGCAAGAAGGTAAGATCTACATCTCTCGAGTTGCTGGAGCTGGTCAGGCACTCATTGGACTGCTCGTTGTACTCAAACGATCTGCAGACAAAGCTTCTCTCCTTGTTACACCTCTCAGCGCAGAGTTCGGCCGTGGCTACCGAGTGGGTCCCGTCGTTGTTCCCGCCGAGGTAGGCAGCGGGGACGAGGGCATATTCGGAGAGGTAGGTGGTAGCTTCGCCATTTCCTGTATGGGAGCGATGAAATATTTAAACTGGAATAAGGCAGGGAAATGAAAAAGGAATGAGTTACAAAGGTTCTACGGCTAGCACCCATGGTAATTTTCCAAAGTCTAATGTTCTCAGGACATTAATTACAGCACATTTCCTTGTCGCATTCATATACATGTACAATCAAACACAAATTGGCAACATTGTGACGTATCTTGAGAGATCCTCTCCAATCTGCTCTGTACAAAAAATGTCATAAACTTTCATTTTCTATGTCAATGACGGAATATATATTTTCTATTCAGGGGTTGTATGGAAACATATTTGCAATTATAATATTTACTGTGCATGTATGATTGAAAATTTTCTTAGTGCAGAGCAAATGGGATAGGAGCTCGTAACATACGTCACAGAGTTGCCAATTTGTGTTTGTTTGAACACAACTTTAAAAATTCATAACTTTCTTATTTTCAATAGGAATTTGCTCAAACTTTGCTTCATTGACCTGTTCCCCTTATTCATCCGCTCCCACTGAAACCTCGTTAATATCAGGTTCGACTTCCCCTTTAAAGACACGATAAGTGACAGTGAGGAAGCCAAGGGAGCTAGGAAACTGTAACACATGCAAACTTTGCACTATAACCTTTCAAGATACTGCACCAATTAAAGCGCCATTCCATCTTTCACCATAATTTGAGTCTCACCTCCCTGACTCAATGCATCCTTGAAGTTAAGTATACATCTTGCCTTAAATAGCTTTCAAAAAGCATGATACACCAGTCCAAGTACATTTGTACGGTACGTATCACCATAAGTTATCAGTAAACAAGCATTAAAGTGTCTTTATAAGTGAAATGTTGAGACTACTTTTTTATCATTATGTCTCAAAATGACTTTAAAGGACTAACAAAACATATCATAATCAACATAGATGTCTCAACTTTAATTCAAAATTTAGATTATAACTTGACGTAGCAATCAGTCAAATCAATTATCCCTGCAGAAAAAACCCTCATTCCTGTATAACATGATGCATGATATAAAATGCATAGTTGCATACTTGAGTATATATGCTTGTAACAAGTGTTATCTACTAGTTGTAAAACATAAAATACATTAGCTAGACATCATTATTTTCCATGCATCATCAACATCAACATTACAGTCAACAGTACATGCCTACATTACAGTAAAAATGCTGTGCCTTGTATAAAACTGCATAGGCCGCAAAGCTACATCCAAGTATATAAAAAGCAAACTTTACCAAAATGTATATTAAAATAATACTTAACGAGAAAAATCTGTAATTACAAGATTTCTGTACATCATTGTTTACATATTGATACACAGAAAACTCCGTGGAATCTAATCTCACAATCCAAGTTCCTGTAATAGAAAATAAGCTTTCTCTATAGTCACAAAAGGACCGCTATCCATAACGTGTGACAAAATAAATAACGGTCCTTTATGAATAGCGGTCCTTATAGATAGCTAGCAAACCATGACAATTTACCTTGCTATTCATAAGGACAGCCATTCATAAGGACCACTATTCATAAGAACCGCTATCCATAACGCGTGACTAATTGAATAGCGGTCTTTTATAAATAACTGTCCTCATGAATAGCGAGCAGACACAGATTGTTCACCCTATTTAACAAATTGTTCCCCATAGGCTTATATAGGTTTGATGAAAAATAATGAAAAAAGAAAACATATATATAAATACAAAGGCAAAGCAACAGCTAATTAACACTAAAGTAAGATCGTACATGCTTATTGAAGCCATGCGGACATACATAAAAGACGCACAATGCAGGTTAAATACACAGGGGTAGGTATATTCTGAAGACACAGAGTCAGACCCTTGTCAGTTGTAGTCAGTATCAGAGTGGCTGAACTGTTAAGACTATTGTACAGCATGGTCTCTAGCACACCTACAAACACTGTAGGCTCTGCACTATTCATGTAGCTGCTCCTGACAAGGTTTGCCAGAGACCAAGAGATTTAGGCTCAGCTCACGGCTTTATGGCATTATATTCAAGTTTCAAATAAGAGACTATGCCTGCAGAATAGGTTGGCACTGGCAGGATGGAGCATATAGGGTAGCATTCCTAAGCAGTATGTAAAGCGCATAAAATAGGCGAGATATATTTAAGGGGTAACATATTCAAGCGTGGTGCAATACAAAAGGGGTGGGCTAGGGGTTAGGGATAACACTATGAACATGAAGGACAAAGAAAGCGGACAAAATATACAGTTCCTCATTCTACCCCCAACAATTGCTGTGGTAGACAAAGGAACATCCCTTCACTGCTATTACGTAAAATGTGTAGAACAGGTGTCACATGCATATTCACCTGTGCTACTTATTTTTACATAATAGCAGTGAAGGGATGTTCCTTGTCTACCACAGCAATTGTTGATATGTCATGTTCATAGTGTAATATTCTCAGACTGTGTAGATCGAGCATAAGGGGGTGGGGTTGGGTTAGGGGCATCATTCCCAAGCTTTGCAGACACAACAGGGGTGGGTATCAGGGTAACATTCCGAAGCGATCAACCACCTTGGACAGTCTGGGCTGTCGTTGCACAAGAGGTCCGAGGGTTGCCGACATCGCAGTACTCCCGGATTATGCGAGGGTTCGTAGTGTAGCACCAAGGCTGGGAGAAGGTACCAGGGTTCCTGCAATGGTTGTGGTTTCCCAGGATGCCGGGGTACTGGGCGGGGGTGTAGCTGTGGCCGTGGGGCGTCTGGACGTTCCAACGCTGACAGGCGTAGCCAGAGATGGTCTGCCTGACCACGCCCCTGTAGTCTTGACCGTTGGACATGGTGAAGCACTCAGGATCTCGCGCCCTGGTCACTGAAAACAAAAAGCAAGAAATGGATAGCGAGAAATCAGTAAATATAAGATTCATGGCAAGTTCTAAAACCAGAATAGCAATGTATTTCTACACTTATTACATCTTTCATACATAATTCAGTAACGATGTCTCTCATTATAGACAGAAGAAAAAAAGGAGGATTTATTCCAATTTACTATTTCACATACCGGTATTATTTATGCTACAGAACTTTATCTGGAATCTCTCACATGGTAAGGAATACTTGTGCTCACACTTATTATTATACATGTATTATTATATCGTGTAAAAATTGCAGGAGAAATTAATGCCGAAAATTTAACACTGGAATATTTCAATCCTATTTCTGATAGGACTGTTAAAAGATGAAGGGGACATCCTGATATCATCTACAGTTTCATTCACCTCATTATATGCCTGGTTCCTATGTGACATCCTAAAAAAAGGCAGTTTTGTTTGGACCAGGTGAATTTTGTAGTTAGAAATTATGCATTGAACTCTTTTGACTGTTGATGTTAAATAATGGCAAGATAATTTTAATCTACCGCCCACAATGTAATGCAAGAGGGTTAGTTCTGTGGTCAGTGCAGTGGATAACAGATTTAAAAAATGATTTTAAAATTTCAAAAAAAATCTAAATTCAATATATACCTGGTACCTGAGAGCTTCCATCTGATCCGGTCGCCCCACTCGAGCCCGCTACCGTTCCACCTGTTGCTGATCCAGGGGTTGATGTTTCAGAAGGCTTGGACCCTAGTATGCTCTGAAGCCAGGGTGGGAGCTCGTTTACATTGAAACGCAACATAATTTGGGAGGAATCTGGGATCGTTGGCGCGCCTTGAACTGACCTGATGGCTGTTAGGAGGTCAACACTTAGTGAAAATGGGCAGGTCTAAGGTATTTCATTTCATTTTTCACTAACAACATTTAGTTATGTATTCTTTATACTTGTATTAATTGATTCGCTCATATCAAACACCAAAGAACACATCGAGGGGTCAGTGACACAAAGATGTAACTCCATTTTGGCCATTTTGAGAAAAAGTGGTTTATGTGTCACTGAGCACTTGGGGCTTAAGGAGTTAAGTCTATGTTTCACTAGCCAATGACTTCAATGGAGTATTGGGTGGAGTTAAGTCTTTGTGTTTCCTTGAAAGCCCACATTTCTCTGAACATTTTGATATCAAATACTCATTTTAGCAAAATATGGAATTATGTCTTTGTGTCACCAAACTCTTAACATTTCATGGAGTTTCATTATATACATTAACCGTATGGAACACAAAATTACAAAATGCCTAAGACCTAGCTAAAAATGGTCTCCAAAATATCATAAGGCCTTCACAATCATACACCTGTATTTAGATTCACTTCTAAGAATACTATAAAATATGAATCTTGCCACTACTGTTGTTTTATTGCATATTTGTTGTGATATAATTATTCTTGTATTATGTTTTGCATGAGAAATAAAATCATTTGAATCACCATTTGAATCACTACTGGAGGACCTCTATACACATAAATAACATTGGACTATTCAATAAGGTAGCTTAATTAGCGGAATATGGTGGTATGGAAAGATGCGTCCGGAATTAAAAATCCATAATAGTTTAATAGTTTGTTCATTCAAAGTTCTTTTTAGCACATCTGAATGGAATTTTAGCAAACACTAACCCTCAATGAGGTAGTATGCATTTACCAGTCAAATACAAACTGCATCCCAGTCGACTTTCGTACAATCACAGTATATACCTACGACAAACCTGAATGGGCAACAAAGGGAACCCACTTTTAGTTACACTGAAGAAGAACAACAACTAGATGGAAAAAAATCCTTCCAGAATGAAAATGAAAGAAAATCGCGATGAAAGGTGAAAAAAATTCTCTAACGTAGATGGATAAAACAGGCACCAGCATCACCCAACTAACATCTCTGACTTTAAACTTTAAAAGTCGAGAGAAATTTTGTCAAAATGTCTTGATTATTTTGAATTGTCATTTTAGTCACTTTTGTTGACGCTATCACAAGCAGCCCTGGTAAGTGTCATGATTAAATATGTCCCAAAACTATTATATATTGAGAAATATTTATGTGATTATGAACAATCAATATTTTTGACGAGAGTCAATTTTGTGTTTGAGACTAAGAACTTGAAATCAAATTGCATTACCGGTATGGTTTTTCATAACGGTAAACCCTTTCCTGTACGAGTGAAAAGACTTTCAACAATTGCAGCTTGTGTTCCGGAAGGATCTCTTCCTGCCACTTCATTTAGCTATTTAGATCATCTTTTGTTAAATACATGTAGTTACAAGGGCCCTGTTGTGACAATGCTTCAGCCGTATGAATTGCAGATTGTATGGGACCGATGTCAAAAAGGTATTTGTGCTGTGCAACCATGGGTATCCTTATACTGGTAATGCGGATATCATGCGGATAATAGTATGAACAATATTGCTTAACACGATGATACTCTAAATATCCCCTTTAAACATCCTCTTTGGAGTAAAAGCATCCATTTGTAACTCTATTTTCAAATTCTTTATACTGGTTGAAACGGTTATTATTATTAGATCTGCACTGTCAATCACAGATGCTTGCCAGGGCTGTTCTCTGTGACTGAAAAAGAATTTTAAAAAGACTGAAAATGAAAGAAAAGGAGCTACTGTATGATTTAAACTTGTCATATGAAGTTTCATTACTGATTTACATGTTTAATAACCTAGTGGTTTTGAGTCAATCTGTCATTTAAAAGTTCTGAAATAATATCACTGTCAAACGAGACCGATACCAGACCGACAACAGACCAATCTAACAATGACAATCCCTTAATAGATGAACTGGTTGTAGATTCACCAGTTTGGGGTCGGTCTGGCGGAGTGACAATGCAAGCAATGAGCTTGACATTGCCACGTTTCTTTACCTCTATTGGGTGACGTTCTCTCCGGCTGGCATCTGACCCCGGCGACCTCTTCACCTTTGTCACAGTTGTGCGATCTCCATTCTGGAAAGTCGCATTCGCTCAGCCCTGGCTCCATTCCAGTGCATCGGACGTCATCCATGGCAAAGCCGTTATCATTGAAGCCATATTCGTCTGCTGCCCTCTGTACTGCCTCCAGGGCACCACTGTCATGAAAACAAAAAAAGTGGATTTATTTTAGCATTTACAATGAAAGAAGTCTTGTGTGCAACAGTTGTGTGATATGAATAGTACGATTTGATGGGAAAAGCACCACATGAAATAGTTCTCTAAAGAAAGAATGAGGTTTGTACATTACATGACCTTAAATAATTTCATCAATTGCCAAAATGATAAAGAAGTACTTTCTGAAGCCTATGTGTACTTAAATAAATTGAAATCTCTCAAAAATGACTGTAAAAGAGAAGACATAATTTTTGTTGGTGAAAATTCAAACATTTCTTACTGCACCTCCTAGAATACTTCTTCCAACCATGGAAGATTTTCAGCAGAAGCTTTAATATTTAAACATATCTGCTCCACTTATATAAAAAGTGATAAACCACCTCTAAGCACAGTGACGAATAAAATCCATTACCCCCAATGCCTCCAGCATGACTTATTTCAGTATTAACTGTATTGTTTTATTTATCCAGTCATTAATGTTTATTTACGTTTGTTACATTTTTGACAGTTTCAATATTGAAATTTATGAAAGTTATGTCATGAGTAGGCCTACTATCTCACATGAATTTGTGCATGATTGTAAAAATTTGATTTAATTTGTCTACAAGAAATGTTGAATTAAATAGCATTATAGCTAGTGAAATTTAACTTTTAGATTATTGTTGCGGCACACACCAATATGGTTCCACTCTTTAATTTGATTTGCATTGAACTCTATGCAAACTTTTTTGGCTCTTTTATGTCTTTCGGGGGCTCTTTTTGGCATTTTGGGGGCTAATTTGCCCGAGCCCCCATGTATTTTTTTTAGTGCTGTAACATCACGGATATCTCCAATTCCGTTTAACCGCCTGTCAAAACCGGACGGTTTTCGGTTAAACGATTTATTTAAAAAAAAAAAAAAAAAAAAAAAAAAAAAAAAAAAATCGTTTTTTTTTTTTTTTTAGCCGTGTGAAAAAGCTAGAAGGTGATTTAACTGAAGGCGCCGATTTGTGCTTGTGAACTAGTCACAAATAATAGTAACAATGTCGTTTTAGAATAATGTGTAAGATCATTAAAGTAAATTTAAAAACAGTAGAGGACCTAGGATAGAACCTTGTGGTACACCATGTGTTAAACTTGGATGAATATATATTGAGATCTATTACAAAGATTACTTTCAAACCAAGATGACAGACAAATTGGAGTGTTGTTCTAGTTTCCAAGTGGTAAGTCATCACACCGATTACTGAGCTGGGAGACATTGCCAGGCATAGTGCCAGGTGGAGGGGCATAAATCGAAACTTAAAAAAAAAAAAAAAAAAAAAAAAAATATTTAAAAAAAAAAAAAAATTATAAAAAAAAAAAAAAAAAAAAAAAAAAAAAAAACGGGAAAACGAAACCGTCCAATTGCAAACGGAATCCGCCATGGGCGGTCGGATACCGGACGGTTAAACGTTTGACTACAGCACTAATTTTTTTCCCTGATGGATACTCCGTAATTACAATCTATCATGCAGATTTTTGTGTGAACTGAAAGTTTTTCCAACAGCAGCTGGGCAGCATTTCAAGAAACCATTACTATTACGAGTTTGCAGACAACCGGCCAATGGAACCAGTCATTTTGATGGCCTGGGTTCAAATCAATCCCACCGCTGCCACCCACCATGTTTCGATAGCTGATGGCCTAGCGTTGATTCACTACAAATCCAACTGAACTAGCACAATACAAGACAAGAACTACATCATGTTCATGTGTCTACACCATGAAGGAGATACTCTCTGCAACTGCGGAGAGAATCAGACGATGGACCACATCTTGCAGTGCGGCGGAACGGGTTGCACAGATGAAGACCTGGCCCTTGTTAATGAAACAGCCATTGCAGCAATCGGGCGATGGAAGAACTTATAATTTAATTTAATTTGATCTAAGGAGATACGAATGAACGAACCAAAAACTGATGAACCTTAAAAATCGTTATTGCGTCACAATCATTCTTGCGCCCTAATATGATGATAGTGTAGCTGCTCCAGCTCACAAAGATAATGAATATTCAAACGTATGTAGGAAACATGCATTTCAGTGGGATCTCGGTGAGCTTGTACTTACAATGTATACCCAGGAGATGTGCGATATGTTGTTTATCAGTTAGACAGTTTATTTAAAACTTAAAGGGGCAATTTGAGGAAGTTACATGCAATATTTCATAAATCTTTAAGAGCTATGTTAACTAGAAAATACCATGAAAAATAAATATTTATGCTGGTTGAGCTATTTTACACATATATTACGTTAAATCAAAGGGCAAAAGTGGTGGCTTTATTCTTATTAACCATCCAGACAAACGACCCCCCCCCCCCCCCATTATACAACTGTGTCACGAAATGATTCCCAGTTTTCTGGAGGTCTGCTCGCTATTCATAAGGACCGCTATTCATTTAGTCACGAGTTATGAATAGCGGTCCTATTATGAATAATGGCTGTCCTTATGAATAGCGAGGTAAATTGTCTATGGTTTGTTCACTATTTGTAAGGACAGCTATTTATAAAGGATTGCTATTCATTTTGTCATGCGGTATGTAGAGCGAGCCTTATGAATAATGGTCCTTATGAATAGCAGTCTTTATGCATAGCGAGCTTGACCTGTTTTCTGAAGGTGATCTACCATAACATATACAAGGGCAGGTTTAGTCTTTTCACACTTACTTAAAACCCAGTTGGTTGCAGACCACAGTAGCTTCTTCAATGCCCCAATAGTCATCGCATACCATGTACCACTGGTCTTCGTAGTTGATCTCGACCCGACCATCGTATTCCGACGTTCCACCCTGGAGCCTCACTGGGTGTCCTGCGGAAGAGAGAAGAAGATTGAAATGAATTCACAAAGAAATGAAGAGTCTATCTTTAGGTTTGCAGGAAGCCATCAATATGATTGATGCATGGTATGAGACTATGAAGTATGATGATCATGATGATGATCATGATGATGATCTTGATCATGCGCCCGCTTTCCCATGTTTCCCTTAGCAAAGTAGTCATGGATCTGTCATATATGAGCTATTTAAACATCAACAAAAAGTTAGAAATCTACATAGATAGATGACTGAGATAGATAGAATGAATGAAAATAAATAGATGAACATTTTTTATGGACAACACGCAACAGCGCCACTCACGCAACAATACTACACGCGATCGCGATCAGCGTAGACACGGGTTTAATACCACTACCAGGAGCTAGGAGGGAGCGCCCCCGGAACTGCCGGTGGTGGAAGGGTGCATGTTCGCACTCTCCCCAAACCAAATCGGGCCACACAATTGTACCGGGCAGATCATTCATTATCATTAACTTCACTTTCCAAAGTTTAAATTGGTCACTTACAGGACATTTTCACTTACAGTAAGTTTCCGTAGCTGAAATGAAAAAAGGCCATCATTATTTTCTTCCATTTGAGCTCCATCATGCCTATTCGATTCTTTGGCCAGCTAGATGCTGACGTTATACGTTTGCGATTGGACGGTTGCGGAAGCCACGCTTCCCTCCCCCCCCCCCCCCCGGCACCACTCACCCAAATCCGACCCCATCCTTCATCCCACCCTTTTCTGCGTCCATGAAATAAAATGTGATTTAGACTGCCAAATTTCTTAGATCTTGATTTAGTCGTTTTTCATGTTTATTGTGTTTTAGAAATATAATTTTGTATATATCATGTCTATAAGTTCATTATTTTATCTTACTCTGTTTTATATATCTTTCTGCATTGTACTGTAAATATGTTGTGCTCTCCTACCCCTGAAGGGGGTCGATAGAGTCCAATAAAAACTTACTTCTTACTTCTTGGTGAATATTAAAACTGTGAATTAAAAAAAAAAAATCATCGAAAAAAGGGGCTGTCAAGAGTTGAGAAGAAAAAAAAATGATATATTGCGCAATTAATGGATGTTTATGATTCGTCTAAATATTTCGCTCCTCCTCTCCTTGCTTAATTACTTCGTAACAAATAACTTGCACTTCTCCTGAGTCCTGTTCGAACAGGATAGATCTATTTCACCAAGGGTTGCTATTTTACATATCTCATAATATCATGGCCGGGCGACTTTTCACCACCAACTGATAATTGAAAGAGGTCAAGACTGAGTGATCATTTGTTATCGTTTAATATACTTGAAACTTATCTCAGTCTCTTATTTCATTTATTTTCTTTTAATTCCTGTATTGTAGCGAATCCAGCATTGTGATAGGACAGGCCTATAAGCCGTGGGCCCCTGTTTCATTTTCCCCTTCAGTTTCTGGATACGCCAGGACTGCTAAAGAGGTTGTTGTTAGTAAATGTTTTATGGCGTTCATTCAGTAATGAATATATACGCCATAAATATCTTCAATTTTATAAGAAAATCAGTTATAGTCTTCATAAGAAAACTGAGAATAAAGATTTGTAATGAAATAATTAATTAATAAGTAACGCTAAAGAGGTCATTTAAAATAGCGTCATGATTGTTCTTACGGTGACTGCTAGCTGCTCTGTTCTGCCCCTGGGTGTCGACTTGTGCACCATCTTGAATGGTTCGTATCTCGGCCAGGAGTCGGTTCAGCTCGGCGATCACCGGGTCAATGTCGGAGTCAATGTCCTCGTCGTCGTCATCATCATCGTCACGCCGCTCCCTGTGGCGTCCTTCCTCGGTCACCTGCACCAAATCAACCTTGCTCGCTAAATAATAATAAATGAAAAGACCAAAACTTTCTTGAATCAGAAGAGTGGAAATCCACTATATAGTTTTCGGTGTCAATGTCATATACACAGATCACTTCGTTCTAGAATTGAATCCACTGCAAATTGCAGCGAAGTCCACTCCGAAGTGATGGTTTCCCAGTTCCCACCCCCCCCCCCCCCCCACTCAGTGTTATTTAGGGTACGCATATGCTTGTTCCCTCTCTTTGAAAGCACCCCCTATCTGAGGACTGCCAACATTTCTGGACCCCCCTTTCGCGGGCTTTTCGCAGGTTTTTCCTGCCTTGGAGACCCCCCCCCCCCCTAAATCCGGAACACTGCTCAATGAACCCACCTACAGAAACGGATCCACGTGGCGATTTTTCCGGCCTAGGCCCCCCCCCCCAGCCCCCGAAACCGTTAAAAATTAGGGATAATAAAGTAAATTTAACCTTTTTTAAAAGGAAAAACAAAAGCGGCCCCCCCCCCTCCCCGCTTATTCACCGGCTGGATCCGCTCTATCTCAGGACATGCAGACCCTCCCCCCTTATCTCAGATAAGCTGTCATTACTGGTAAGAGGACATACTTCTACTACTTTTTTTTTTTGGGGGGGGGGGTCTCAAAAATTTCGCAACGTCTCAGCCAGCAGATAAGCGGGGGGGGGGGGTAAGAGCACTTTCTTTTTTCTTTTTTTTTGTGTCCCAAAATTTGGCCGATCGATATTTCGTTTCGTTGGGGGGGGGGGGTTCCTCCAAAACACACACATAAAAAAAAGTTAAAGGGGGGGGGGGGGTACGCGCCTGATGATATAACATATGGGGAAGGGTCAACATTAAAATAAATCGCTTTTGTATATCACACTTACCATAGCTGGGAGCATGTATCTTCTTAGCTTTTAGTTTGGCATCAACGTGTGTCATCTAAAGAGATTCAGAACGAGAGAGAAATGTTAATTAGAATTTCTTCCTCCTTTATTCTGAAATCTTAATTATTACTTTTAAGGCGGCACGAAAATTAAATTCACACTCACAATATATTTGCTATCTCAAGTGTCAAGCAGATGCACAATATCAATATTCCTAAAATAAGGTTATAAACTTATATGGATTCATTTCTAGGCATGCACATACTGTTTATTGATTGTATTTCGTTGAAGTAACCTATCATTATTGCATACATAGTTCTCAAATACACACACAAAAAAATCTTCTTGCGAAGTACATAATAGAGGTCAAAAGATTATTCCAAATACATTTTCAAATATTCTCAAATACATCCAAAAAAAAATCTTCTATACGAAGTACATAATATAGAAGTCAAAAGGTTATTCCAAAGAGAATGCCGGGGTATTACCGCGGACGCTATCGGAACTACGCAATAATTCCTTTTCAGTAATGTTATCCCTTATTTGAATTATATATAGGAAGTTCTGAAAGTTCCGATAAAAAGCATTAGATCCAGGGGCGTCTCTTTAAAGGGCCTACTTTCTACCATTGGCAATTCCCACATCCGTGTCCTAATTCATCTTCTTTGAATTCACACTCTCTCGTTTCCCCCTTTTTTTCAATTATATTCCAAAACATACTTTCCATGGCAGCATCAGTCTTTTTATGGGATCCGAGGAGGGGGGGGAGGAGGTGGGTGGGGCTAAGGGCAGGAAATGTTTGGGAACTTTATACCAGCCTTTCAAAACTCACTCAGTGGGGGTTGTAAAGAATTGCTACAAAATATTTAATTTCATTTTGTAATAGCTAAGGAAATAACAGAAGGTTGGGCCATCAAAGCATCTCGTTACACGGATATTCCTGCAGAGGAGCTGGAGGGCGGGATGTCTCCAATTCCCCATGTCCACGGCGCCCCACATCGACACTGCCTATTTCCCCTGCTGCTTCTTTACTTCTCATTTTTCATCTTCATTTTCCCCGGTGTATGACCCCAACTGAGAGCTTCGGACCGGATGTTGTAAGTCCTTCCGGATTACTCTAATCCATTATATTTTCACAATGCAGATATTGATGTTGCTGCATTGTATTTAGTGTATGAATATTTTTAAGGTAAAATAATATAACTTCCTTGTTTTAAAGTTCCAGGTACGAGACCAATGAACCTGAATCGACGGCTGTTAAATATGTTTTGCTGTAGGTATATAGTCCAAAAATTGCGAAATAAGGAACATACACATTCAAGTATCATTTTTCTTTAAAATTTGGGACATAGAGCTATAATAGTTGATTAAATCATTAAGTAACAGTGCACATATTGCAAAGTAAGGAAATGTGTAGGAGAGAAAAGTGTGATGTGAGGTTTCATGGTTGCTTCACAGATAGATTTGGAAAAATCTATCTATCAATGAAAAATCATACAGGAGTTTCAATTTATCGACACCTTTTTGAAAAAAATATTCTAAATATATCATGTGAACAACAAGCAAACTTCGTATCATTTTGAACACTTATTTTTTCTTTCCCGAATATTTGTCTTCGAATTGCATAAAAGCAGCGCTATAATGAACCCCGACCATACAGTGTAATGTTGTTTGTATGTACCATGGAGTCGTCCTCGACTCATGGGACCTGTTTCACAAAGCATTTTTTCAATGACAAATGACAAAAACCAGTGACAAATCTGCTGATAACCAATCCGAAGCAAGGATTTCAGTAGCTTACAACAAAAACTGTCATTTGTCACTGATGACAAGTTTTGTGAAACGCTCTCCTGGTGACCCCATGAACAAACCCTCTCAAAGCTTCTCTGTCCTGAGCGAGTTTGCACATCTCTCCTATAATCTATTCCAGTCTACAAAGTGTATATCAAACAATTTCATAACAAACCAGTCAGGTCGCGTTAACCTGAAAACTATCTGACGGCTCGCCCTGTGATTTAAAAGTTCATTTCAAAGAATTCCTGACTCAATGACAAGAACAGAAAGTTGCCAATGTTTCCATGGCAACGCGAGTTTATTGCCAACATTGCAACACAGATAACCCATATGAATGTGGTATCCGTGAGAGAGCAAAGAACTATTTGGTCGCCGTATAAATCACTTTTTAGGTAATTGTTTTGAAGGCTTATGGTAATTTGTCGATCATGCAGTTTTCAGTGTGATTATATTATCATGATAATGGACACGGGAGATCAATTCACGCTGAATTATTCATATAGTCCTTTAATAAACGCTCGTCGTATATGAATACTTTATATAACACCTTTAAAATATGAATTCCGATTAATTTCATGAGAAAAGATTTTCAGAGTGATTTTTCTTCTATTCCTTCTCTCATAATGCAGAGTTGATGTCTTATATGACTTCACTAAATATAATTTCTTCTCCTGTACATGTAAAGATCGAACTCTATCGACAAATTTACACCCTCTTCAAATAAAACTATATTCGATGTAGGCCTTGTGAAACAATGTAGGCATTCGACAATATTCTATGCATTTCTTTTGGTTTTAAGTTTTATAGTCCAAAGTTTGATATATCACTTGAAAAAATTGATCATAATTGTAGTGGCCTTGATAACTGATACAAGAATCGCATAAACAAAATGAAATATACAATGATCTAAATAGGGAACAAAAATGCAGACAATAATGTCTTCAAATTTTCAAAGCGCTTTACATTACGAACAGATACCCTTGCTAAGCTTGGCAGTGTTTTGGGACTGCGTATCTAATTATAACATTTATAGCGCTGTTATAAATAATTCAGATCTGAGAATCGAAAGGAGAGAAGGACAGAAAGGACTCGTAGATAGTGAAAGAGGCATGGACCGAAAGAGAACGGAGAGATGGAACGAGGACGGGAGAAGGGGGGGGGGTAGACAAAGGGAATTAATAAAGAGGGGAGGGAGAAGGAAGGAAGGAGGGAAAGGGAACATAGAGGGTGAGAGAGAGAGAGAGAGAGAGAGAGAGAGAGAGAGAGAGAGAGAGAGAGCGAGAGGGGGGGGGGGGTAAGAGAGTTGGAGTCTTGGAGAGAGAGAGAGAGAGAGAGAGAGAGAGAGAGAGAAAGGGAGAGAGACCCCTTATATCACCCCCTCCCCTCTCGAGAGGGGAGGGGGTGATATAAGGGGTCAGAGAGGCAATTGAGAGAAGTGAATGAACAGGAGATATTGACGAAAACAAATGACAGACGTCGCATAAAAAGCGGCAACCCGTTGCATGTCCATTTCAACAAGCAACGAAATTGACCGGAAATCCCTGGACAAATTGAGTCATAGATAATAGTCGTCGCGTGTGAACGGGAGGGATGCATGTCATATCATAGGCAGAGAGATGCCTTCACGTCATCTAAAAGTGACAGGGGACAACCAAGCATGGCTTATCAAAAAGGGGGTTAATGTACATAATATTACACAGGACTAGGTAAAATGCAGACAAAGTATCACTACCGAAACTGACAAGGAAAATGCAAGTCGATACAAAAAATTATTTTAAGATAGGAAAATAAGCTGAGACCGCTTGCAAATACAATGATGATAATCAGATATTGATAACAACGGGGGGGGGGGGGGGGGGGGGGTGTGATAGTAATTGGCCATACAGATAATGAAAGTAATATGATTCACAGAAGTTTTAGACTTGGTTAAAATGAATTTATGGCAGTCATTAAGATAGAAAATACCGTATATCATCTATTACTTTTCTCATCCCCAATATTTCATTTATGCAAACCATTTCCCCCCCAATATTCCATTGTAAAAAGTCACAAAACATCTACTCAAAAGACAGACCTAAACATCATGTACTAACTTAAACGATGTGGATTGAAATGTGTGGTTCTGTGACCCGCTGACCTCAATTATCACCGGGGATCTTCTCCGCATGATTTACTTCAAAGTTCAAGTCAGGAGCGATACTTTTTATCGCTTCAGAGCGGACACATCTTCTGCAACTGTTGAGGGACAGTCGTGATGACTGATAGCTCCTCATAGACCCTTTTCATAGTGCTTCTATCGGAGTCACACCGATGAAAATACCGATTTATTTTTCCTTATGTAAACAAAGGTGAAACCGCCGCTTTCTCTGCATGTCCTTTTCATACTGCGGGTGAAATTCAGCCCGCTGTGGCGAGCCCTCGCCGGTGTCCACACATGATAGAAAGAGAATTTCTCCCGCTCTTGAGCAGGATAATTTAATCGCCTATTTCTCTTCTTTTCAACGGCTATTCCATCGGCTTTTTCTCCTCTGTACCATTCATAGTGGCCGTTTCATCGGATGCGTCCGGATGCATCCGATGAAAATCAGGCCAGTTTGAAAGGGGTAAGAGAATAAACACACGTTCAAACCAGACAGGGATATACCATAGCTAACAGAGTTGAGATAGTTACATCACCGGAAGTTTACCTTGCCGAAATGGTTTCTTTTCCATAGAGATTGTACGTGGAAGGCAACTTTTTGGGAGCTCTATATGAATTGACCTTTGAACGCGTATGTACGTCACAGCTATCACTCTCAATATGATATGAGTTATTCTAATACAACTTGATTAATGAAGGATAAAACGAAGTACCTTGGAAACTGAGAAAATAGATTCGAAAAAAATCTACCGAGACGGCCGATTTTTCTTTGGGATGAGCGACGGATTATTCGTAATTTAACTTCAAACATAAATTCCAAAACTTATTTGTGGAACTACCCTCCCAATCCCAAGCCTAAAATCTGCTGAGATGCAATACTTTTTGTGGATAAACCGTCCAACTTTGGTCGAGCAAATAAAAATAGCACTTTTGATCCGAATTTGGTTGGCCTACTTTTCATTGTCTTAAACGAAATCCAGGGCTCGAATCTCGGACATGTAACAACTTTGAAACAACGTATACTTTTATCTTTCGTCTCTTACGTGGCAGGAGGAAATGTAATGTTGGCGCATAATGTACCACTATAATATTGTACAAAGGACAATGGACATCATTAACATCTTTGATGAAAATATGCTTGGGAATCGAAATCGTTTGACAGAATTTCATATCTGCATCTCATAATTGAACAGGTTACGTATATTTATAATAGACTCATGTTGGCCCAAACGTTGATAGCCATCATTCTCCGCTCGGTCACCTTTTGTACGAGACTAAAAGATGAATTTTTTCAATCCGTCTTACATCTTTCTAAATGTACTAGTTCTTCAGTTTCATGTGAAGTTGATCTTGAGATATGATTCATGCACAAACAACATTCCCCAGGCTCTTTTTCCAGGTAAGCGGCGGTAAGCGTGGGCAGAAAGATTCCAGCTGACAACTTTTGTCATCGTCACTAAGCGACACTTGTTCCGTTTTAAACACCTGGTATTTTTCGTTTGTGAACTCTCGAAAGTTGGACAAGGGATAGAAAAGGTGAAATCACGTTTTTTTTGTTTTTTTTTTTTTTACTGGTCCTTCTATATTCCATACTGTATTTTGTATTATTGATACACAAGTCATGTAGTATGTTTTTTTGGCTATGGTCAAATAACATATCTTGAATCTTGAATTGTGACACCGTTGTATTCAATTTTCCAGTGGAAGATTATTCCAAATAGCTCAATGAATTCATGCTATTCAGAGTTGAACCATCAGAAAATAGAATTATATTGGTAAAGAATTATACATTAAGTACATCAATTTTGTATAACAACAGTTGTATAACAATGTTCTTTAAGTTTAAGGTATTTTTTGTCCAAGATTTCCTCTTTATAATGCCTTGCATCTGCCACTAATTTTGTCATTGTCTGTTTATCTCTCCTCTGTTATGCAATTTTGATCAATAACGTGATATTAAAAACAAATATGCAGAAATACAAGACAATTAGGCAATTGTTATCCTGAGGTTAATACTAAAACCATAGAGGGGAAATCATACCTTGAGCTCAATGAAAGTACATGACCTATATTGCAATGTTTTGTTTTGAAGCTTGCTTGTTTTCTTAATGAGTTCCGGCGTTGTTTCGATCCCCGTCACTTTTCATGGTTCACTTGATAAAAAAATTCGTTGAAACGTGTGAACAGAATTTGAGGAATAAAGGGTGAAGCTATATGGTGCATTTTCCTATCATCTCATAATATCTATAGTTCATTACCACCCTCTGAACCTGCTCTCCTTCCCATTTTCTGTCTTAATGTTTGTTAGACCAGCCCCTAATCATCGCCTTACATGTATTCGTGTAATCTTTAGCCCCCCCCCCCCCCGTGACACCGCCCACCCCCACCCCCACACACACACACATACACTCTCTGGCCAAAATGGAAGTTTACCAGATATATTGGAGGCTATGTGGGTCAACGGAAGTGCTAATGAACGATAAATGGAAATCCCTTTGAAATATAAGTACAATGAAACTGTGTTTAAGTGTTACGGTATAAGTTACGTTACCAGATTGTGTGTGCATACCAGAGCCATTAATATGGAATCATATCTTATGGATTTCCAGAATTGTTTATGTTAATCATATTCCAGTTGTCGGCATTTTTTCAAAATAACCTGTACAATATGCCTTGTATATTTCACGATGTTCTTAATTTGACAGTTATTACATATAGACTTTAAAAATTCTCTTTAAAACATACTTGTTCAAACATAATTTTGATCGAGTTAAAGTCGGGCATTTACAGCAATTACTTCTCCCTTTTTATATATTGATTCCGGAGCGCATAAAGACGCCATCGCAGTGATATGCGCTGTATAAAAGCACGGTATTATTATTATCAATGGGTAGAGGTTCGGAATACCTGAGTAAATTGCTAACATAAATCATATCTTTAAAATCGTTAATTTAATTAAAGCAAAAATTGATCACATACTTATATTCTTCACAATCCTAATAGTCTATATTTTTTAAGAAACTGCTATATTTTACATATTATTATAACGTTTTACATATGATATATATCGTTTTAATTTATAGTAGACTCGAGACTTCGCAAAGAAAATAAAAACTTACCAAAGTGGACACGCACATTAAAGCTCCCAAACATAAACACACAAATTTGAGTGATCCCATGCTGTCAATTCCAAGTTTGTCAGTCCCGGGAAAATATATTTATGAAACCTCGGGTCTAGAGCGATCCCCCTGCTTCTCCCCTCCTCTCCAAGAGATCCGAAACCTTCAGCAAAACTGGAACATGCCGCTGCGCAACACGAAACGATTTAATTCCGACTATTCCTTTCCTGAACTAGGATAACCAATCCTCTCTCTAAAAAAAAATTGTTGAAGATGGTTACATATCATACAGTTCTAGTGGAGAATTTATCATAGATTAAGCTACACTAACTCGAGCGTATAGGCCTTGCCGATTAAACAAAAATAAGTAGAGTTTGCCAAGTTTTTGTGACTGACCGCTCCCGCGTTTTGGCTAGAGTTTAAATACGAGTTAAGCCTGTCTTGGTATGGGTACGTCTGTGCGTGTCGGTGACGGCTTAATGAATGTTCGGGCTTGATTGTTCTATATTTTGTTTTATCTATGAAAATCCAGTCGTTAAATGAGGGCTGAATATCCTGTTTAAAACAAAGTTAGTCCCCATAGTCCGAGTTGTTCTGCGACAAAAGAAAAGAGGTCAAATAAGATTAGTAGTATGAATAAAAAGACAGAAATACCCGACCCGAGGGGGGGGGGGGGGGGTGGCTGTATGGAGAGAGGAGGCGAGGGTGGGGGTTAATGATTTATGAAGTGTATTCCGGAAAATTAATTATTGTTCACAGTCGTCTCCTTGGAACAAGAAGGGCGTTAACTCATTTAGTTTAACATATAACTAGGAGTTAATCCTCTTCGGGCTTCTTGTTCCCCCCCCCCCTCTCTCTCTCACACTCTCTCTCTCTGTCTCAGTTTCCCGATCATTCTCAGTCTTTCTGTCTCTCTCTGTCTCTCTGTTATCTCTCTCTCTCTCTCTCTGTCTCTCTGTTTCTCTCTTTGTTTCTCTCTCATTCTATATGTCTCTCTCTCTCGCTCTCTCTCTATCTCTCTTTAACTTAGTAAGCATTACCACTCTCCCAGTTGCCGAAAAGGTACACATGAAAAGAAACAAGAGAGAGAGAGAGAGAGAGGAGAGAGAGAGAGAGAGAGAAAGAGAAAGATAGGGGAAATCGGATCAGATTGCAGGATTATTTTTTCGATTTCTTGGGGTTATGTGGCCGAGACTCCATATTGCTGGGGTGCCTATGCTTTTGACAATAGCCCATATATATCTAGCCCCCCCCCCCCACCTATCCCCACCCTTTGTTGATCAATGTCGGCATACGTCACTGTTGTATACACCCCTTCTCGATTTGTCCTCTTCAATCTTAGTTTTGCATGATGGAAAATAATGTTTTTGAACCATGACCGCATTCCAGTATTCCAAAACGTCACATTTGTTTTCACCGTATCGAGCAAGATTATAGCCTTTGAACAGGTGATGGTAGTTATGGCATTATTATGTTAACTCGGGAAAAAGTTTGTTTCATAATTTGTTTGTAACAGCTGTTGGAGAAACACTCCCTCTCTATCAAAATCAAATTTGAAAATTGAGTGATGCAAGTAAAATAAAATCAGGCAATTCGGCCTTCACCAGACACTCAGGGGCGGATCCAGCTTTTTATAAAGGGGGGGGGGTTGGGGTGGTATGCGAGGGAGCGTAGCGACCGAGTCCAAGCGAGCGGAGCGAGCGAGGGAGGAGGGTAGGAGTGGGGTGTCCCCCTCCCACAGTAGGGAAATTTTTGAAAATCTGTGTGTGAAAATGGCGTTTTCTTGCATCTAAAACACCACTATTTTTGGTATAGAGGTCGTTGCCAAATTAACCCCCATGAAAATTTGTAAAATTAAGTTGCATTTTCCTGCAATGTAAGGCCAGTTAACAACACAGATACAAAGAACTGGGGACCTTGGAATAAGCACTGTTAGCCTAATACTTTTATTATGAACAGCTTGTCACTGATACTCACTGGCAAATCTCAGTCAAATATGATGGACTGGCAGAGAGAGACGCCTTGGATGTTTCTGTACAAATCCCTGAACTATTTTGCTTGTCACTACACTCAGACCAGACTGATAAAAAAGTGAGCAACTTAAACAAGTAATCCAGGAAATGAGCAGCCCAGCTCAGCGTGCGTTGCCAGGTTAAATCTTCACAAAATCCCCACCCAAACGACACTTAAAATATCCCCAAAGTTGCCAAATTTTGACAGAAAATCCCAAATTCGTTTTTCATAAAACTCAATATTGTTTTCATTCCCAAATATTTATTTTTCATCCCCAAAGACTTCAACAATCCCCCAATTTTTTTTTTTTTTAATGTGGGGATTTTGGGGATGAGAATCGGCAACGCTGGCCTAGCTTGTCACTTCGGCGGTGGCCCGTGTCCTCAAAAAAGCTGATGGGGGGGGGGGGGGGGGGCAAGGGACTCTGTGACATTTGTTCGCCCAACCCCCCTCCCCCCCAAAAAGAAATAATAATAATAATAATAATAATAATAATAATAATAATAATAATAATAATAATAATAATAATAATAATAATAATGATAATAATAAATGAAATTAATACATAGAAATAGAATAAAATAAAATTACAAGTTTAAAAAAAAAGATAAGATTTTAAAAAATGGTCCCCGGATTTTTTTTTTTTTTTTTTTTTGGGGGGGGGGGGTTGCAACCCCCCCAACCCCCCCTCTAGATCCGCTTCTGACACTCTTATCAAACTATCCAATTTAAACCAGTCCGCCCCCCCCCCCCATTACCCCAACAGGCAAATACAAAAATGAGGAGTAGAAGAATATGAAGAAGAAGAAAAAAAATAAAAAATAGAAGAAGAAGAAGAAGAAGAAAAAGAAGAAGAAAAAAAGAAGCACCTTCTTCATGAAATACCAAGCTGCAAATTGTAGCCCTTTTTGTATTTGTTTGTATAAAACAAAGTAAAAGAGAGACTTAAAGAGAAATAAAGCGACGGAGAGGAGGAAGAGAGAGAGAGAGATATATATATACATGAGAGAGAGAGAGAGAGAGAGAGAGAGAGAGAGAGAGAAGGGGAGAGAGACGGATACAGAGAGAGAGAGAAAGAGAGACGGTAAAAGAGAGACCAGAGAGAGAGAGAGAGAGAGAGAGAGATAGACGGATGAAGAGAGAGGGAGAGGGAAGGGGGGTATGAGCTCCAACTTTTCAGGGAACTCTTGACTACAAGTTTATTATAGCAGGGATATATAATTGTCTCACCATGATCATATTGAAGAAGGCATCCCAAATGCTATCTTAATTAAGGGGGGGGGGTGGGGGTATATAAATAGATTTCGGGAAGAAAACGGCATCCCAGTAATCGCTTTTTCACCAGTTTGTCTTCGCCGAACTTTCCTCAGACAAAGCTCTTTTCCCAGGAACGCGTGACTATAATGTATGCCGGGTTATTGCGTGGGTGAGAGGTACCAAGCGGTGTCATGGATATTAGAAGGGTCTGGATTCAAATAACATGACTCACACCAACCCAAGGGGTTTCCCGAGCTATTTCCTTCACTCCAATACACTATGGAACGAATTGATGTAGCCTGTCGTTCGTGCCAGTTGATTTTTTCCCCACCAAGTATTCCAACGTTTGTTTGTCAGTTTTCTATTTGGTACACGCTTGGGTTTGTGTGCATGGCTAAACTAAAATTCTCCATTTACTGCAATTTCAATGTAATCTGTGTTTGATAAAACTCATGAACTTATTTGTTTAAAGTGTTTACGAGCGTTATATTTTGTGAGACATAATAAATTGTTAGATGCAAACGCCATGAGCACTCAGCAGAGGTGAACACCACCGCTATAACACAGGGGGCCATCATCATCTTCACCATCACCATTATCATTATCATTATCATAATCCCCATCATAATTATCCTCTTCATCATCAACCCCTTTATCTACATCCAGAAGGACTATTAAATACAGGAGAACATTTATTCCGACTACATAATTATAATCAAAGCATCTCCAAGCATTGCAAACCCCGGCGGTGTCTCATTCTAACTTGGTTTTAATCAATAGTTTCCCATTCTGTTCCAATTCTTTTATGATCTTTATCAAGTCTGAACGCGCTGATCCATAGAAAACTAAACGCATATTTTTCAAGTCAATGATTTCTATTTGTAATATGACAATTGATAAAGAACCATATACAACCATGCGTATTATTATGTTTATTTATACATCGTGCGGAATCTGTTTACACCTGCCCATTCATTCGCTGCGATCCCCCTCAAATCTGGTAAAGACGACCGCAAAAAAAAAAGGCAATTGTTGATTCTCTGCATGGTCGGCCCACGGCCCGGGGGCGAAATATTGTTTGGGGAATTATTCTTGTGTTATCCAATCGGATCTATAGGAAATGATCTGTTGTAGTAAAGCGTTAAATTGTGAGGTATCAGGGTATTCACTATTCAGAATGCCATTTTTTTTTTCATTTCAAAAGAATTATTGACTCGTGACTCGTGAGGATGTGAGATGACACAACGCTATTATTTCTTATGACACTTACCTCAAAGCAAGTCTTTTTCACCAAACACTGAACTATTCTATTATCATCCGATGGATCAGCATTTAGGAAACGATCTGTTGTAGTATAAAAGCGTGAGTGTGTGACTTATTGGTTTCAATTGAAGTGGTATAAGTGTATTCAGAACGCCATTTTTCCTTTTAAACGAATGCTATTGACTCGTGAGGAAGTGGGATGAATACATCGAATTCATTTTTATGACACTCCCTCCAAGGCAAGTTTTATTTATCAAACATTGAAAACATAATTCCCCTTGTCAATGGGACTTCTGCTTTGTGCAAAATGAAATGCCGGTATAGCATGCAGTTGAGTGTAATTTATTGCACAAAATCTCGGCTCACATTCTCATAATCGAGAAGCATATCGTAGCCAACCATAGCCCCATTACTATCCTGGCTGTGTATTAAAAGCTGTGCTATTGATTCTCAACATTTCAAAAACCACTGTACAAAAACTCAACTGATTTTTACTAAAAATCGGTACTTTAGTGACACTTAACTGTAAAATACGATTTTCTTTTCAACTTTTCGATGTTAGAAAGAATACTTTGAAAATTCAAATCGTGAGTCTACTGTCAAACTTGCCGATCAACCACTTCGTATTCATTGTGTGCATTAGTGTACAATTGTGTGCAATGTGTGTATTGTGTGCAATTGCTGCCTCTCAGCACAAGCACTAGAGGTCAATACCGGAGTGATCGTAGCCTGATTGCAGTTACAGGGGGAGGGGTGCACTATGAGAGGATGGAATATATAGATGGAATGTACGGCAGCAAAGCGCCGCAGCAGAAGAGGATGTGAAGAGGGTCTTTTCTGTTGTTAATTGCATTACTGCTTTCACGTTCCCTTCCCTTTCAAACTTTCTTTCTTTTTTCTCTTTAAAATGTACTTACTCTATATATTTTTTTTTATTATGTCTCCCCTTCTTTAATTTTTTAATCTCTATGTCTCTCTGTGTGTCTCTTCCTCGATCTGTCTCTGCCTCTCTCTCTCTCTCTCTCTCTCTTTCCCTGTGTCTCTCGATCTGTATCTCCGTCTCTCTCTCTCTGTATCTCGGCCCCCCCCCTCTCTCTCTCTTAATTCTCTAGGGAGGGAAATTGCTATCCAACAATAAAGAGTTTTCAATGTAAACTTATACTTTAATCATGACGACGCTATTGAAGAAACAAAATAATGTGGACAAACATTATGGTTTGTCCTACCTAACAACAGGAAATGTATGCAATTCTCATTCTGACTCTTGAAATACAATTATTCGAAACAGGTGAATGAAATGATTTAAAACGAGGCATTAAACAAATATTTGTGCATTACATTTGAGAACATTACGAAAAAGGCCCATTGCCTGATTTTCAAACTCAGTGATCAGCTTTATTATAAATGTAAGCTTTAATGAGTGAAATTAAATTAATCATAATACGCCCATGCCTTCTCGAGTTTAATAAAAGCCTACCACTGCATGACAGTCATCACAAAAAATACAGTGCGTAGGTTGGTTTTTCCTGTCGGTGGGTAGTTTAATTACCCATCAAACGGAAACAAAGTACGATTTAGCCTAGGTTTTAGGAAGGTAAAGGGGGAAACCATGAGGGTCAAATACCAAAACCAAAGTACTTTCTCTTCACCTGTTCCTTTCCGTGACGCGCTGCGCCCTCAGATAATGACCCCAAGAAAATGACTGATCACTAGGGGTATGGAGAGTAGGAAGGGAGATGTGGGGGAAGAGAAAGATATAATAAGGGGAGAGAGATAGAGAGAGAGAGAGAGACAGAGAGAGACAGAGAGAGAGAGAGAGAGACAGAGAGAGAGAGACAGAGAGAGAGAGACAGAAAGAGGCAGCTCATTATTTCTAATTGTTGTGAGGAGGGACATTAATCGCACTGTTTAAAAAATGCATTTAAGCCACTTTATGTGACAGGTATGCGCATAATACATAGTACACTACACTTTGCTTTCATAAAAGGAAAAGTAATTAGATTACTGCTATAGATAATTGAAACTACCATTAACCCAACAATTACAACTGCATAGTCACAATCAAAACCCGTCCTTAAACCGATTTCCTTATCTGCTAGTCTCGTTATTAATGTCGGCAAACTCTCAAGTGTAGCAGTCAATCGATGAAGTTTGTCAAGCTCCGAATTAGTCTGTTTTCAAGAACTCGGATTTATATCCTTATTAGCTCACTACCCAAGCCATGTTTCATTTAAAGTAGCTGTGCGAAGATTTTTTTTTTTAAACTAACTTTTTTTTCATTATTGCAAAGGTGAAACTTTGATTGGACAATTTTATCGAAATTCAATGCTTGAAAACATTCGAAGTTATGATTATTATCAATTACAAAACGTTTAAATACAGCCCTGGCTTAGCACCTGAAGAGCTCTCCGAACGCTGCTGAGATGTGTGAGATCTCATGTTAGACATGACTTACAAGCATACGATATCCTAAAGAATGAATATAATTGCAATGCTATCATTTCTCAAATTATGAGTTTAGTGTATATAAATGTAATGGAACTTTACACCAATCAAAAAGTGATATGAAACCGATCCTGATAACTTAAATATTTTGTTTGCAAAAATACAGGATAGGGGGTTAATGAACAATCAAATAAACCACACTTTAAAATTGAAACCCCCCGGAATGATAGCATGGACGGCATTTGTTCCCTCTTGAAACGCCGAACATACTGCAGCAGTGACGGGGGCGGATCTACTGGGGTCGGGGGGCCGGCCCCTACCTTGGCCCCCCAAAACAGGTAAATTTAACCTTGTTCATAAAAAGAAGAAGACGGGCCCCTTTCCCCTGGCTCAAGGGGGGAGGGGGGGGGGGGGGGGTGAGGGTGTTGAGTAAAAAAAAAAAATAGTGCTCCTTACCCCTCCCCCCCCCCCTCCCCGCTTAATCGCCGGCTGGCTGATTCGCCGCTAAAAGATTTCTCACGATTTGAGGGAGGAAAAAATTCTTCTCTACGGCCATGCATTATGGTTCAAGGCATGCATGGCCACACAGAGGATTTTTTCATGTTGGGGATCGGGGCAAAAAACAATTATTGATATTTTTTTGCATTTTCCTTTTTTATTTTATTTGTGGGGGCTGCCACCTACGCTAGCACCCGCTGCGTACAGTCATGATTCAGTGGCAAAGAAATGGCGTCGTTCCTGTGAGGCCCCAGGATCACAACCGTTTCGATGTGGTATGTTAGTGCCCTTTTGTGAATCATTAATCCTCATTACTGTCAGTTGATGTTGACTTAAAGCCGTAGGTCCCGTAGTTGATAAGCATAGTAGCACACACATGCTTTAGCAGTCACTTAAACAAACACTTGCAAACTATTATTAAATAAAATCTGAGAACGTATAGTATTATCTAGATCTCAAAGATCTCAATCAAAGTTTAAAAAATACCAATGTAAAACAAAACGCTTCCAGTGCAGCTCTCTTCCTTACTTTATAAATCTTTTGAATAAAATGTATTACCAATATAAATTGTATTTTTAGAATTTCACAGTCCATGATTGAACTATGTGAATGAATTTTGATAGTTTTTATCTCAATTTTCTGCATTACTGAATAATTCTTGCCATCTCCCCTCATCTGTAATGATAAGGTACCCTTTGTCTGTCTCTTCCTCTCTTCAACTCTCTCTCTCTCTCTCTCTCTCTCTCTCTCTCTCTCCCTCTCTATCTCTTTTCGTCTTTCTCTCTCGTCCCCCTTCTCTCTCTTTCTTTCTCTCCTTCTCTCTCTTTGTCATCACTCCAACTCTCCCTCTCCTACACCTCTCCCTATCTCTTTCCTTTTTTAACAAAAATTTGAATCTGATCAATGAAATCTTATGAAATGTCTATATGTTTGATTATTGATTTATGTCATATTTTGTGTTATTTCAATTTGAATTGCAATTGTATTGTATATAACCTTGTGAAATGGATCGCAATTCAGCCATTGGCTGCGATGATCTTTTTAATAAAAACCATTTCTATCTATCTATCTATCTATCTATTAAGAATGGATCATTGACAAAGTCATTCCATAAACTGGGGTAAAAAAGTATTATCCCACCTTTATGACCAATTACAGTGATGTGATCATACATGTTAAAAGTTCGTTTATATGTGTGATGATGTATACGAAAAATGAAGCAATGTCCTAGACCTAACAGCTCGCTAATAACTTACACAGTGGGCGAGGTTATTAAGTTTCTATTGGTCATTGATTTTGTGTTTTTGTTAATGAAACTTTATGTACTTGGTTTTTTTTAGTGACAAACTCTATCAATATGCCGATATTTTAAGGGGGCACCCCTCCCTTCCACTCGGCCGAGAGAGTGCCTAAATAACCCGGCCCTTTTAGGGTTAAACTGTCACAATTCCCCTTAAATCAGATATAGACCTACACGTTTGTCTTCAGTATACAAGTGCCATTACTTAACATTTAAGAGTAGATTTTCATTTCTGACCATTTCCCCAAAGCCGTCGTCTTCCAATTACTCAATTTGTGACAATGTTTACTGGTTTATGCAGCTTATTGTTGGGAAACAGTGCCATTTTTATCATTGATGATGGTCTGTTTTCACTCAAACTTTCAGATTATCTTTAATTGTACATCTAGCATTGACGTCACTACCTTAGCACCATTTCCCCTCATCTGATGAATGTTACCTAGTCCCTTTAAACAAGAGCTCAACTATCCCTTTAAAGATTTACAGAACATTATTTCATATCATTGATTACTATGATTCAGGATTAATTACTTCCATATAACTGAAATGAATTAGTAATATTTTGTCAAACGCATTATGCTTTGTTAATTTCGCGTGGTGGAATATGATTTAAAAGCAACCAATCAATCGATCAATCTGAGACACTAGTTGGCGCTGTTTAAATGAAATAGGGCTATTATATTGAATGCACGAGTATGTGCGAATTTGATGCATTGTTATCCTTCCTTCAACATTTTCTTTAACGATAGTCTGACTGGTACCGTTAATTCTTCAAGAAATAGGGCACTTTTATTTACTCAATTGCACTGAAAAAACAAGAGAAATTTGAATTCAGTCATTTATTTATTATCAACTTATTATATCTTTAAGCGCAAAACAATAAAAACTCGTACAAACAAAATTAGATGAAGCATTCCAGATTAACGAAATTGTACATCAATATTTGATTTGATATCAATTACTTCAACTGCACAATTCATTACTGGATGTTGCAATCAAATCTTTTACTTCAATAGAAATAGACAGCAAAAAACACATTATCTACATAATACAAAGTGTGTGATACCAAAGCAAAGCCTATAACATGTACTCTCGTATAATAAATTTTGTATACTTTGTAAAATATAGTTTGTAATTTATTTATTGTATATAATTTCTTTTTTCCTTCTTCAAAGTGGAAATACAAATTGAACTTGAACTTTTATCTTGAGGTGAAAGCTTTAAAACCAAAACAGATTACCTTTCCACTGATTGTGAAAAAAAGAACTAATTGTCAAGTTACATCACCAACCAGATGAACCGTTTATGTGAATACGCATCATACATGAGCACAAAGAGCAAAAATCACAACATTTTAAAGTCAATTTCTAATCATTAATCATTAAAGTCTCAAAACTGGCAGCGTTTTGTGAACATTTCATAATCATTTATTGCAATGTACACATTTGAAACTTTTTGAATTGGATTTAATAACCTTCATTCAATACATATTGTTTGTTTTTTTTTTAACTACAAAGGGGTAAAAAATATAAATACTATAATTCAGGATCAATTACTTCCATATAAATTAGTATAATTTTATCAAAAATATGCTTTGTTAATATGCGTAGTGGAATATGATTTAAAACTAAAAGTAATGAATTAATCTGGACCTTGTGGCAGATTAGCCCTGTGCTAAACAAGTTATCCAATAAAGTCTACTACTACTATTACCGAGACACTAGTTGGCGCTGTTTAACTGAAAAAGGGTATTATATTGAATGCACGCGTGTGTGCGAATTTTGATGCATTGTTATCCTTCTTTCGACATGTAACTACAAAGAGGGTGAAAAATATAAATAATTAGGTCGATATAAGGAGGAAAAGCGGATTTATTTAAACCGTAAGAAACCTCTAACTGCAATAAATTTTCGTAAATTTCACAAACATACGAGACAAGACATCAGTCATGAAATCTGATCAAGAGGAAGCGAGAACATTGTCCACTAGTATAGATATATCGACTGCTATGAGAGACATAACTGTTTACAAAGGCTCAAGGGGACGTTACATCCTGCTATGACCCCGAGGCGCGTCAAGGCGCGGTGAGGGTTCATAGCAGGATGTAAGGTCCCCGAGAGCCAGTATAGAAACAGCCATGCCTCGAATATTAAAGCAGTCTATATATCTTTTATATACCGAATTCACAAAATAGTCTACAAAGAATTCTTGCCTTATTATCCTTTTATAGAGTAAAGATTAGTTAAAACATCACAGATACTCTGAAACACTGTCTGTTAATCTTCGCTGGAAAGTTGCCTGAATTTTACTATCATTCGCGAATCGCACACACACTGTATGGTATCCGTGCTCGCACAAAGAAACGTTTTACACGTAAACCAATGGGGATCTCAGCAAAATTTAACTATGCCCATGACCCGGGGCAACGGGCATCTTTGTCATTAACTATGCCTATAATACCAGGGGCGACGGGCATAGTTCGTTTCTTTGCGGGCATGGCTAATATCACGACTCCAATTTCGAACAATCAGATGACTAGATTTATTCAACATAATAAAGATAAGTATCTACTGTTCTCTAATATCGTATAGTGCAGGTACCTTCTAACGATTCCCCCTTAAAAATGTAAAAAACATAAAATGAGACTTTTGTCAGTTTGTTGAAATCAGATTTGAATAATTTGTAGAGGTATCCTAGTCGAGTGGATTAAGCACTTGACCGAAGATGCGAAGGTCGTGGGTTCGAGCCTCGGAACGGAACTTATGTCCTTTCGCAAAATATTTATCTACATTTGCCGATTAATTACAGTCTTAAGCGCTTTGAGCACTTTGCGTGGTGGATGTGAGCACTAGAGATAGCTATATAGTGCCCGATTTGTCAGTAATAGTCAAACTTTTGGGGTCCTTGTAACCTTTTCAAATGTATGCTATATACCGACATTATTCATTTCGATGAAAGCCGGCGGTAGGGCTGCTCCATTCCCTGATGTATCTTTCCTCGACCTTCCTCCTTCGCCACCATCCACTGCATCAACGTTTCCCCTCGATGTCGGCCCCGATGTCGGCTTGGATGTCAGCTCGGTTGTTGATTTCGTTGTTGAGGATGAGGATGATGATGCAGTTTCACTAATGTGAAGTTGACTCGAGGCGACCTCTCGTCCGTGCTTGCCACTTCGGCAGGTCTTGCACAATTGTTTGCGGAAGAATGGCATGCGGACAAAGTAGAGAAGGAATATGAAGAAGCCCTGAAGCGCGTTCAAAGCGATAAAGAGCCCCTCTGCAACCTTAACAAGAAATTTAAAAAATAAGATGATCTAACTATAGAAACTTCATATGGAGATTAAGTAGAACAATACCAAAATAGTTTCCACAGAAGGCCATGACATTATTGAAAGTGACGTTTGCCATGAGACAGAAATACCCAAGAAGAATTCCACTGGTTTGGTCATAATCGACGCAAAGACTCAAGTCTTACTTAACAGGGAAAAACTTAGCCTAGACTAGACCGCAGGAGAACCTCATTTGTCGCGTTTCCAGATAAATTTGAGTACTGGTCGTATCATTACATCGTGACAGGAACTGTCTAAAGGCGAGTGGAAAATGTTTATTATGAAGCAAAGGAGAATTGGTGAATGTTGAGAGGTTTCGGATTACACACGCGTGTAGGTGGAATGTTTGGTCCTGTATTTTTAGTGATATTTCGAATATAAGTGCATTTAAGGAGCAATACTTTTCTTTGGATTTTCTAGTATGATATTCTTAAAAACTGACATACTACAAATGAGTATGCAAAAACAATCACCATTCGTCTTTACAAAAACGAAATCGCCTCTGTAAAATAAAGGGAATACCTGGCTTATTTTGTCGATGAAGAGCAGAAAACCAGCTGTCCAAGTCAAGCCCAGAATAACAAGGTTAGAGATGGCGATCTGGACTCGGTTGATGGTTTCCCGACGTTCATCTCTCTTGTCTTCCCTCACTAGACCTTCAGGATTAGCTGATCGGACCAACCGGACGATGACCATGGAGAAGATGACGATGTTGACGAGGAGCATGATCCCGATTGGGATGAGGAGTCCGCCAATCTGAGACCAGAACTTGAGGAAGCACCTAGTACGTTGTAAAAGTCGAAATAGAGTGATCCACAACCGTTGGCCAACTGCACTTTAATGTTATATAATATTCTACTGATTTCGTTGAGCCCAACTTGAGGACTAAAGTCATGTTAAGCAAATGGCTCACTCGGTCTAACTTCTGTTTTACAATTTATTTTAGACCGACCTAGCGTTTGGTATAAGTTTTAGTGAATACGGAGCAGTTGTGGCGTGCGCCTGTAATACAGCTAACAATGGAAGTTACAAACTGATTCAGTCGAGGACACAGGTTCGAAGCTGAGTCACGTCTTTCAGATGGTGACGTTTAAAGCTCGGTCCCCAGACGTAAATATTCATATCTGATTGATAAGCGTCTGTAAAAACCCAATACACACACACATGCAGGTTCCCAATGCAAACGCTTAACAGTTTCCACCAAACAAAAAACATTCTGGTTCCTGGCAACGTCTAAGCACATCTGATCCGATTTATTAAAAAGTATCCACTGAGGAAAATGCCTAGTGCCCATTTTCTAGTACAAGATGAGGTGACATTGACAAATGTTCAAACTGAAATTTCTCGCAAATTTTACTTTCTTATGAAAATTTAAACCTTTAAGCAGGCTTTTAGAGCCCGCACATCACTGCTTTGTAACAGTCTGTGTGCCTGAGATATTATTTCGAGAAGGCTCAATTCGAATCATCGGGTCTTCGTCGCGTTACACGATCTTTCGCAAAACGAAAGCTGAAGATGACGCGACCTTTCGTAGACTTGCCTTAGGGGGTTTCACAAAGTGTGGGGTAAATTAGACCAGATCATTTGTAGATGAGAGGGGTTTATTTCGCAAACATTTCCCCCGACATTTCGTGAATCAAAAAGCATTCTTTCACAAAAGGTCGGGTGACGCGACCACCCGACCAGACGTGATGACCCGATGATTCGAAGTAAGCCTTCTCGAAATACTATCCCAGGCACACAAACGGGACCGTCACGAGACTAACCCCTGATCAAAACTTGATAAAAGAATTTATCAACTTGAAATGAGTGTGGATTTGGTTTGACACTGTCTCTGGTTTGATGTTGTGCCTGAGGTATAAAAACATCATCCAAGCAATGAAATACAATATTTTGTTTGAACGATATATATTAGGAGTACTCACCGATCGTGATGGGCGTACTTTTTTCTTGCAACCGCCCCAGTCACGGTGACGATCAATGCAGGGATACCTGTAGGAATATAATGAAAATAATTAAGACTGATTAATGCAGTAAAAATATATCATATTAACAATCAGGAGCAAATAGCTGAAATGAGCCAGAGACCATTAACATCTTGCCAACAATTGATATCTTGAATTAGAGTCGTCAATAGTTTTGTCTAGATTTTGTTATGGAAAATAAGTTTTGTATAGCAATGGTAAGAGACAGTGTAAAAAATCATAATGATGGCAAGAAAGCAACAACAAATGATAACAAAAGAACACTAACAGGACTAAGGAGCACCTGCAGAAGACCGTGCCCCACGATGACCTCAACCCTTACTCTGACCCGAACTCGACTTCTAACCATAATCCAGGGGGGTGTTTCACAAAGATCCGAAGTCGAACTTAACTTAACTTAAGTTGGACTTAAACATTATGGAGAGCCATTTGTAGCCTTAAAATTATTCAAAAGCAAAACTACAAGTATTTTAGACTTTTCATAAATTCCACATCAAGAACATGAAATCTCCTTGATAATAGAAATTAGGAATGATTTGAATCAACACTTTATGCCTTTTAAAATAAGTTGTACACAGCATTTTCGAAAATGCTAAGAGCTTTCCATAATTGGTAACCAACTTAGAGATAAGTTCAACTTAAAATCTTTGTGAAACACCCCCTGATATTGACTCTGATCTTGACCCTTGTCCGATCCCTAACCATAAAACACTGTGGAGGAATCGTGGTTTAGTGGTTAATTCACTTGCTCTCATTCCTAGGGTTTAGTGTTCGAATCCTATGATTAATAATAATTGCAGTACCCTCAGGAAGAATAGCATGGAAGTCAATAAGGCTTCCCTGGGTATACATGTATACTGGTCCACAGGCGCGTACGCAGGATTTTTTCAAGGGGGGTGTTTTAACATTTATAAATCGGGCCGAAAATTTCGCAACGACTCAGCCAGCCGCTGAATAAGCGGGGGGGGGGGGGGGGGGGGGGGGGGGGGGGGGGGGGGGGGGGGGGGGGGGGGGGGGGGGGGGGGGGGGGGGGGGGGGGGGTAAGAGGTCACCTTTTTTTTTTTTTTTGGTCTCGAAATTTGAAAATTTGACATTTTGCTCCGTTGGGGGGGGGGGGTAAGGTCAGCTTTTTTAGGTCAACCATGGGAATTTTTTTTTTTTTTTTTTTTTTTTAATTAAAAAAAAAAAAAAAAAAAAAAAAAAATCCAAAAGGGGGGGGGGGGGGGGGGTTTTAGAGAAATTTAGGGGGGGTTTACACACAAAAAATTACCAAAGGGGGGGGTTTAACCCCCCAAACACCCCCCTGTGTACGCGCCTGCTGGTCCATTATGTCGTATTCTTCAGCTGCAACAGTAAGCCAAAACTAATTCTCGTAGATTAATATTCGATTCCCCACTGTATGATAATTACCACAAGCAGCAAGTGTCGCTTTCTGCATAAATCTTGGAATATACGTATCAAAGATCTTGATGATGTGCAAGTAGGCATTGAATCCTTCGACACCCATCCAGGCCATCGAGGACAGCAGGGAGTAATGGATGACGGCCGTCAAAATGGCGCATGGGATCGGAGCGACCTCACGATTGTCTAGCGTCGAGTCGAGGACGAGCATGATGACGAAGGAGATGTAGAGTAAGAGGAGAGTGAGGCAGAGGAGTATGAGAATCTTGAATCTTTGTTGCTTCCTCAAAACTCTGTGATTAGGTGGTTTGACAGATAAATAAATAAAAAGAGTGTTTCAACCAGTAACAATTATTACAGCTTAGGTCAGTGGCGGATCTGTATGAGGCATGTGGAAGGGGTAATGCCAATGGGACATAGGATAATGAAGACGGTCTCTCATGAAAGAGATATTTTGGTGAGAAATTAATGTTCTATCCTCATGATCATGTCTTTTGCAATAGCAATAGTTACTCGGCAACCAGGGGCGTAAATCCGTACCGATGAGTGGGGGGGGGGGATGATCGGCGATAGCCATCACATACTAGCACGAGCACACGCCCACACTAATTTACGCAAGCGCGCGCGATCGCGCACGCACAAACACACAACACACACACACACACACCACACAAACGCACACTCACACACACGCACACACAAACGAACAAACAACAAACAATATTAGAGAAAGAAGACGATTCGTTGTACCATTCTCGAAAATAATCCTCGTCTGAATTCAGTTCCCCCCTTCCCTCCCGCGCGAAGCGCGGAAGCTTTTACGTTTCATAAAATCATTGGAGAAAGAAGACGATTCGTTGTACCGTTCTCGACTTTTAATCCTCGTCTGAATTCAGTCCCCCCCCAGAAAGAAGACGATTCGTTGTTCCGTTCTCGACTCCTAATCCTCGTCTGAATTCAGTTCCCGCCTCCCCTCCCGCGCGAAGCGCCTAAGCTTTTACGTTTCATGAAATCATTAGAGAAAGAAGACGATTCGTTGTACCGTTCTCGACTTAATCCTCGTCTGAATTCAGTCCCCCCCCCCCTCCCTCGCGAAGCGCGGAAGATTTTACGTTTCATTAAATCATTAGAGAAAGAAGACGATTCGTTGTACCGTTCTCGACTTTTAATCCTCATCTGAATTCAGTTTTTTCCTTCCCCCCCCCTCCCTCCCGCGCGAAGCTATTACGTTTCATTAAATCATTAGAGAAAGAAGACGATTCGTTGTACCATTCTTGACTTTTAATCCTCATCTGAATTCAGTTTTTCCCTCCCCCCTCCCCCTCCCTCCCGCGCGAAGCGCGGAAGCTTTTACGTTTCATTAAATCATTATAGAAAGAAGACTATTCGTTGTACCATTCTTGACTTTTAATCCTCATCTGAATTCAGTTTTTCCCTCCCCCCTCCCCCCCCCTTCCGCGCGAAGCGCGGAAGCTTTTACGTTTCATTAAATCATTAGAGAAAGAAGACGATTCGTTGTACCATTCTCGACTCTTAATTTCTTTAAAAAGGGGGTGGGGTTTTTTCTCTCTCTCTTTGGACTCCTGAGAAATGTAAAAAGGAGGTTATAAAATATCTTGAATATCATAGAAAAATTGATCAAATCCCGGGATCAAATTCCTGAAATTCCTGCTAGCTTTGAAAGCTCATCCAGGATTATTTCATTTTGAAAAGTAAAAGCATTGCCCCCAGTCCCCCTCGATCGACTAGAGCTCATCTGAAATGGGGAGGGGGGGGGGGGGGGGGTCTCAAGGTAGGAAAAGCCAGCGAAAAGCCGGCGAAAGGGGGATTCAGAAATGTTGGCAGTCCTGAGATAGGGTGGGGGGGGGGGGTGCTTTTAAAGGGCGGGATCGAGCGTACGCGTACCCTAAATAATACTAAGTGGGGGGAGCCGGGCATCTACTGTACATGATTGCACTTTTTAAGCGCTCGCGCGCTGGCGCACTTTACGTCTGGGCTATAATAATACCTTGCAAAATAACGAAAAATTATTCTAAAGTTTATGAAGTGCTTGTTCGCGCACGTCGCGCAACTACTCTTAATGATCATGACATACTTTATCCGTGTAGGCTATACAGTTATACTTACATTTAAAAAATAACTCATTTCTCATGTATTATGCTAAAATTGAAACAATCACATTTTCTTCTTCTTCTTCTTCCTTTTTTTCTCTCTTTTTTTTGCAATATCAGGGGGGATGATTGTACCGGCCACCCCCCCTACTTCAAGCCAGGGGGGGATGCAGCCCCCCCCCATCCCCCGGGATTTACGCCCCTGTCGGCAACATAACGTCTAAGGAATGTGTGAAGTAAAATGTGGGTGTGTGCGTAAACGTATATTTATATACAAACATATATATAAATAATAATTAAAACAAATGAAATAGATCCAATTGTTTTAATTATTCTTTGTGTATTGCCGTGACGGACGATTATCAACATTAAATTATGTGTTCTCTTTATATAATTGTTAGTGGACTTGTTGGACTGTCATCAAAAGCGATAACAAATCAAAACGATTTCCACTTCACGGCTCTTTCCACAACCATGTTTATTTCAAGTTGGCCGATGTGCCGGTTTGAGGGAAGGGTGTGGGTGTGTGGTCTTGAGGTGCGTGCGGGTGTTTGGGTGCATGTGCGTGCGTGTGTGTACCATGGTGTGTAGGTTCATTTTACCTGTTTGATAGATAGGCTCCCACCGTAATGATTAAGCTGACAATGGAGATGCCACATCCAATGTAACTTAAGTTTCTATACACGTGTTCCAATGCATGCTCCTCATGATATATGTCCTGTAAAACAAAATGAGCCGAAAGTTAAAATTATTATTTTGCTTTTATCCATTCAGAGTTTCAGACGACCTTAAGTTGTTGACATGAGTATCTGCAAAAGTCGTGAAAATTATGAATTAATGTCAACAAATAAGTTAATATGAGCATGTGATAAATTGTTATCATAATATAGATGTAGGGGAAAATTATGGGATAATGATGTTATTTCGTAGATCAGTAATGATGGTTCTACCACATTTACCACCAAAAATGTACGTTTTTAAGACAAATAATTAATATTTTTATCGTAGACAACTGGACAAATTTTTTACAATATATTTATCTATTAAGAAAAGACTACCATTATTTTGTTGGGTTTTTAGATATTCGATGTGGAAAAACCTTCCAATATTGTCTTGATAAAAGGTATTATTATAAAGCAGTATATTGGTAACTTCTAGACTTTTTATTAAGTTTCATTAATTCCACATTTTACATAGAAAAACAATTAATATTCTTTTCATAATTTTTTTTTTATACAGGCGTATATTATTATAAGAGTAGATTTCACACAAAAATAAAATAATTAAGATTTCAAATCAAATATAATGTACGGAAAATAAGTATGAAATTTCGAAATATGTAGATATAACAGGCATGGTAGAACAATGTAAAATGTGAGGAGCCTAAATAAAAAGCATAGCTTGTATGTGAATATGTTCCGGTACACAATATAGTAGGTCTGAATTTATTTTTAAATTTAATTTATCGTTTGTCCTTCTTGAACAAGAGAACTCAATAATTTCGAAACAAATTAACTGCTGTCACAGATTAAAAAAAACTTAAACATGGTTACATCAACAGGTTACATGTCTTTGCTCGTTTAGCTATAAAACTAAACTTTTGCTTGTCACTTTACAACGCATTGAATGGTCAAACCTAAATTATTTGTCTTTTAAATCACATCCATATGCACGTAACTTGCGAACAGTGAACAGGACAGGCTGCTTCTTAAGCTACCTCACACAAAAACAAAAGTAAATCTTGGAGATTGTGCTTTCAAATGCGCCCTCCAAAGCTTTGGAATAGTCTACCACTAAACATAAAAAAGCCCCATCTCTTGCTGTCTGCACAGTTATGTTGAAGACGCAGTTGTTTTCAGGAGCTTTAAAATATTTTTAAAATAATTTAAATTTTTTTACTGTTTGTCTGTAAAGTAGCACTGTGATGAGTTTTTTTTCTTCATCACAGCGCAGTAGAGTACACTAAATTATATAGTAGCTGCGCTTTATCAATAGATCTACTTAATATTATTACATTATTATTAAAACAATCTTACCATTAACACCGCAAAGCTAGTGAGATGGTTGCATCCGCACACGACTCTACCATAACCAGTTGCATTGGACGACTCGTCTGCGTTATAGCGACTCGGTAGACTATGTGAAAGCAGCCTGCATCCATCTGAGGACCAGTCTGTTAGGTCTTCATCCCAGAAAGTACATACTGGATTGCGACCAGGCTAAGTTCAGGGATTTACAAAAATAATAAATATGAAAGAAAGGAAAAACTATTTTTATTAACTCTTATCCTGCCATAATGAATACAGCCTAATGCCACAGGGCTAATACCCGATGTGCCAAGCCACAAATCCCCCTGTGCCAAGTTAATTTTGAGATAAGCGAAACACTATGCACAGTACAATGAGCAAAAAAATAACTGCTAATACGTATGCGAGCAATCATGCATAAAGCACCGAAGCGATGAGTCGCTCGCGTGAATAAAGCACCCAATCGATAACGCGCTCGCGTGTACAAAGCACTATAACGGCAGCGTGCATGCGGCCTTATGGCAGGATATGAGTTAAAATAGGCTGTGGTTTAGATTCTCATCGTTTCTCAAGATATAACAGCGAACGATATCCTGACAACATGTCGGGATATTGAGTGGCTCAGTGGTTCAACATCTCATCTAATAACAACAACAACAACAGCAATTTTTTTTCTTCAAAGAAAGATTATGATCACCACTCGAGAGACAATATATTTCTGTATAAGTGCGTTCGGAAATAGGAATCTCTCCCTTTCGAAAACGGTGTAATCTCCCTGCCTTTTCGAGCCTGTCGTCGTTATTTCAAAAGTTTAAAAAGAGACCGACTTTTGAAAGACTAAAGTATACCACGAGAAGAAAAGGCCAGGGTTGAGAACTTGATACGAAACGCTTTCTGTTTTAGCATGCACACACACACACACACACACACACACAATGTTTCGCAAGATGGATGCTCTTTCTCGAAACAAAATCAGTGACCTTACATTTAGAAAAATAAAACCTCTGTTTTTACCTCGAGTGGTGTGAAGGTGAAGTTTATCAACTCGTCTACCATCTCCACCTTTCTCCTTCCAATCTTGAGAGACAGAACAAGCGTATTGGCCGATCGGTTGAAACCTTCATGACTCTCGCTGATATTACGTAATGACCTGGATATATGAAGGGATGGCGAGGAGTAGACGTTGAACACCAGCTTCTGGTAGTGGCTCTCGTTGTTGGGCATATCGAATTCGGTGGTTGAAGTTTGAGACGATGATGAAGGAGTGGAGAAGATCTCTTTCGGGATGCTTACTTGAGCTGCGGTATTATTTCTTTGGTCCCGTCTATTGAAATCCGTTGCGTTGTGCAGGCTGAAGTGAGATGCGGTCAGTTCTTGAGTACTTGAAGTGGGGAGATCTCGCGCTATGACCAGACCTTGGCTGAAGTCATCAGGTGCTACACTCCGGATCTGTTTTGGATGAGCAAAATGAGGTCAGGATAAATGAAAGGTAGAGAGAGACATCTGAAGAGAGAGAGAGAGAGGGAGAGAGAGAGAGAGAGAGGGGGGGGGGGGGGGGGGGGGAAAATAGAGGGCCTTGGGGGGGGGGGGGGGCTAAGGACAAAGACCTCCTAAAAAAAAAGATATAAAAGGAGTACCGAGAACGTGCAAACATTGCCGCTAAAATGTTTAACAGCATTGTAACGTACCTCTTTATAAACAGAACATTAGTTCAACCCTTCGATATTCAATGTTACAATGTTAAAGTCTCAAATTGTGAGGACAAAATAGAATATGCATTACGCATTAATTATCTTCTTTATTCAGAATGTGTACCTTTTTTTGGGGGGGGGGGGGGGGAGGGGGAGATTCGCTTCAAAATATTTCGCTTCCAGCCAGACGGTATTCTTCTTAAGGTTTGTCTGTACGGTAATCATATATGTTTGGGGGAAAAAAGTGGCAATTTAATCTACTCTTTTGAAAACTAATTTGTGCTCTCATCATTGTTGGTCACCTGTACTGCCACGTTAGGCCTTGTGATGCTAATAGATTCTCCATCATCTAATTGAACGTTGCTCAGCTGTCGCTCGAAGGACAGCACGAATTGACTCACAGCGTCCTCTTCTTCCTCGGCCTCCCGAAGCTTCTCCATGCCAACATCAGCAATGTTGCTTGCAATCGTTGCCACATAATCCAAGATCTTAATATGGTATGCAAGCAAACATAGATATGTTTCTAAATTTTATAATATTGCTGTGTGGTGTTGCCACCGTTATCGTTATTTGTTATATTGCTTTTGTACTTTCATGTTTGTGTTATAATGGAAATATTTGATTACTTTGTAAAAAAAAAGATAATATCAGCCTTGAGCTGCATGTCGTGAGGTTGTTTTCTAATAAACCGATTCAATTCAACAATCAATTCAATTCAATTCAATGTGACCATCATTTCACCAATCCGAAACGTGTGATATTTGAATATCAAGTATATACCAATCACAAGGCACGTTCAAAGCACCTACATAGAACTACCACATGCATTAATTTTGCTTTAGCAAAGCTACCCTGTGTTCTGAATTCATGCAGTAAATTTCTTCCAAACTGCATGAAAAGTAGGGTAAAAAAATTGCCCGACATGAGATAAAAGGGTCTGACCAATTTTAAGGCAATTTAGAGCCCAACTCTGATATTTGTTGGCCCAATCAACATCCCCCTTCAGGCCGGAAGTACTTTGGGATGGGGGGGGGGGGGGGAGGGAGCAAACATTCCAGGGGGCTCACCTCCTAGGGGCAGTGGCGTAATGAGCAAAACACGTTTGGAGGGGGGCAGAAGAAAAATCTGTATCACCACCATATAGGCCTACATGATACATACAGGCCGCGCCAAACGTTTTTCAAAGTGGAGTATTAACGATCAGGTAGAGCGTAAATTGACGTGTGGTCCAGGGACTGAGCCCCGGCAGGGGGTCAAGGGGCTGAGGCCCCGGAAGCTCCGGTTTTTTTTAGCATTAAATTAGGGTCTTTAGATACCTTATTTGTGACACTGGCAGGTCACTAATTGGCGAGGAGTCCTGGTGGCAGAGCCCCGGAAGCTCAGGGCTTTTAGATATTTAATTACGGTCAGATGAGCATCCAGGGGCCCGCCTTAGGGCCCTTGGTGGGGTCAAGGGGGCAGATTCCCCGGAAGCTCAGGGGTTTTAGGCATTTAATTACGATCAGATGAGCATATTTTGATACCTCATTTGTGACATTGGAAGGTCACTTATTTTTCTCTCTCACTATCTTTCTTTTTCTATGTAACATACTTTTTCAAAAAGTGAGGGGGGGGGGGGGTTGAGCCCCCGAGCCCAGCCGTTCTTAAGGCCCTGACATGAAGGCTATTAAATAAGCATATTTTCGCCCGACTGTTAATTTGGGAATTTCTTATTTTCCAACAAACGCATAAAAAGGTAGGACTTACCAAAGAAAATGAGAATAAATACCGGAAAATCATGTCATTTCAGCAACATTTGTAAATCACTGGTATCGAATAAGAAATAACTCCCCCCCCCCCCCCCCTCCCATCAGTACGCCAGCGTTCAGGGGCTCATGTCTTCTCACCCCTGTAACAAAAAACACACACGCTTTTCTATCCTCTCACAATATTTCCACGATATGCTCGTATCGCTATAATTAAAAAACCTCCATTGATAAATATAGGTGGCATGCGGAATGTTTAGGAAATTTTATTCCTTTTAACTTTCCTTTTCTTTGAATGGAATTTTATATGTGATTTAATTCAGGTTTTCATTATTGTTATGTTCTTTTGGGTTAAAAACACAAACCATCTTTACTCCTTTACTGCTTTTCTTCTTCTTTTTTTTTGGAGGGGAGGGGGCGTTTTGAGGGGCAAAAATGCGTTTTGCCCCCCCCCCCCACTTCCGGCGCCTATGTCCCCCTTTACTACAAATTACGCAAAGACTGCCCAAGTGAAGACCATAATTGCCTAAAAGTTGGTCAGACACATAATTTCCATTGCAATGTTCGCAAATTTCGATAGGTGCTAACAAGGCGATCCGAATTGCAGTAAGTAGTTGTTTTATAAAGTTTTTGAATTGTGTTCAATGCATTATGGATATGAACTAACATCCGTATCGGTATAGTTAAGATCGGCAATCCTGGATGAAATATTGGACACGAGTATAACATCGGCTGCCGATATGTTCTCAGTCACGAGCCTTGCGATGTTTTCTGAAACATCCAGAGCCACGTCATTCGTCAAATTTCTCTGGAAGGATGAAATTGTGATAATGATTATGGAGAAAACTTGTATTTCTTGTTTTTCGAAGGTTTGTATTTTAGAAGGCTGATAATTCCGAAATACCATTACTCAGAAATTAAGATAAGGTAAATAAAACCTAAGAATTGATTTTGCTTTAAACTGTCTTTGAACTTAGAATCACTTCCGTATGATCTCCAGATTATACCATACCATTGATTTGCTTAATAACTTGTACAGTGCGTCCCAGAAAAAACGAAACCGAGAATTATCGATGTTTATCATAAATTAATCACAATTATAAATAATAAATGACACATATTTGTAAAACTTAGATCCCCCTTCTTCATTTGATGAACTCATATGATGCATATTTCACGCATGAGTGATAAAATCGATTTGAAGAAAGGGAACCAAAAAGTCATTTGGCAGACGGTATCTGAATTACGAAGAGAAAATCATATTTCTAGAAAGTTCCGTTTTGCCCTTCCATATGACACCTCAATCAGGAAAAATGAGCAAGGAATAACAAAGTTCTGTTTGTTTAAAGTAATGCTTGCATTTCCATGATTTGATTAAACGAATTCGTTTTCACTGGCTGCCTACCGTAGCAACAAGCAGCGATTGACAACAGACTTAACTCTGTTTCGTTGACAATCAGCCACCCATGAATTCTTTCTTCTATTGTATTAATTTGATTAAGTTATGATAAAACATCGAATATTCTCGGCTTCGTTTTTTCTGGGATGCACTGTATATACATATTTATATTGTCAATAATCGAATATCTCCTAGATGAACCAAGGGGAGAACTTTGTTTTCCAGCGCTTTGAGCAATTAGTTTGTTGGAAATTTTATGTGATTAAATTCAAAGGGCCTTTGTAATATTGTTATCTCTATTCAACGAATAAAAATAACCAAATAAAGCCTGAGCTTCACCGAAGATTCAATATAATTAGTGTTTTATGGATTTTAAAATTTATTACAAATAAAACATTTAAACAAAAGAACGGTTGAATTTTACCTCTGAAATGCTTTCGAGAATTTGAGTGATGTTTCTCGGAAGTTCGCAGTCGTGACAAGGTACTGAAAGGAGCGAAATATAATTTAGAGTATATATTAAAGCCTGCTGATTCCAATTGATTGTAAAACTTGGAAATAAAATTCTGATATGCTTTCTTGCAAAAATATATATATACCGGAAGCAGCCCGAAGTGGCCCGTTAGAAAGAAAAAGGGATCTATGAATTAAGGGTTATTAGTTAATTAATGCTAGTAGATTTGTTGTTGTTGTTGTTGTTGTTGCACACATCGCACGACAACAAAATTCTCTAAGATGTTGATACCTACTTTGATAGAAAAATAAGGTTTAACAAAAAAAGGAAAAATACTAGAAGAGAAAAGGAAAGAAGGAGTAAAGACGGGTTGAGGACGGTAAACCCCAATCAAGAGACTCTGAAGATCTACCCCAGAATCCTCTCACCAGCACCAGAGTTGCCTAGGCCAATGATAGCCGAGAAGATTGCGGTGAGGGGTTTTCACGGACCAGTGGATCTGATATTTTAATATTTAAAAAAATCTATGATTTTAAAAGAGTACGAATTTACAAATAGTTTAAAATAAAAAAAAAGTGAAAGGCGTAAATATTCTAAAAAAGAATGAAACGCCGATAATACCAAACGACAACAAAACAACAATATATGTTATCACCTAACGAAGTGTTGCAGTGGCACACGAAACGTCGTGATCTCTTAAGGCCCGGTCACACAGGGAGGACGCATGGGGAACGCACGGCCAGCGCATTGGAAATTTGCAATTTGGGCCAGTGCGTTGTCGTTCGCTAGGCGTGCGTCATCATTCGTTACTCGTTCGTCGAGCGCGCTGGACCAACGCTGGACCAGCGCTATGCATGCGTCGTCATTCGCTGCATATGGAAACGTTGTATCATCCGCTCAATCTGACTTGCGTGCATAGAACAAATAAGCATTTTTCCATGGTAAAGTAAAGTTTTCTAAAATGTGCGTTTCTTTCCAGCATTGGGGCGCCCGGAAGTCACTCGGGTAACATTTCATAAAGTATAATATCGAAAGACCATTTGCAAATTGTCTGTACTTTCGTCGGAAAAAATACATTTATCCAGCAAAATGTCGTCTCTTTTTGCGTTGAAGAAGAGCAAATAGCGAGTTTCAATCACACTTTGGCCACTCTCGCAAGCTCTCACTCGTTTCACTGTGTTCAAGCGACTTAGGGGCAAGCGGTTAATGAAAATACTAATCGTTAGCTTTCTTTTGGTATTAAATTTGTTTTGATTGATTGTATAATTTTGTCGGAATACAGGAAACAAAAAGGCTCGACCAATAACTTATCAGTGTCTGAATTGACCTTTTGACCTTGAATTCCCTGATGCAAGCGCACTAATGACGTCATCTTCGCTAAATCGGCGTCTTTTATCGTAAAATGCGACACTTTCACAATGTTTATACATCTTTTTTTAACTATTAGTAAGAATTAACATATTTTTCTGATATCACTGAAGTTTTGGGTTTTATGTAATGAGTAATTTTAAAATAAGAGCCATTTTACTGTTTTAATTTACTGGATCGTACCATTCAAATCGCAGGGTAGAAAGATGCATTTTTCAACCGCGCCAAATTTAATGTACGTTCCGACATTCTGTTAAATGGGTTCGTGTTGTTCAGAATCCACTGCTTTCTGCTCCAACAAACGTCCACATGCGGAGTCGTTTATCAACTAAATGATTCAAATTTATGGATGCTTCCTAGCTTCCCAGGTGTTTGTGTTGCTGTTAAAGCATTTGATTCACCTGCTATCATTCTTTGTACTCCAATTGCCAGAACGCAAATTTCATTTTAGTTTTATAGTTTCATCGGAGTCGTTTATCAACTATATGTATTCAAATTTATGAATGCTTCCTCCCGAGGTGTTTGTTGGTTTATGCATTTCATTCACCTGTTAAAATTCTTTGTACTCCAATTGTTAGAATACAAAATGCATTTTGGTTTTTATAGTTTCATGCAATAAGTCAATAAAAGAGTATGTTCTGCACAATAAAAACAATGTGTGTCCCTAATGTACAATGTAATATGTCCCCTCATTTTGTATTAGTTAATTTACCCATACACATTATGGAACTACCTGTCCGATGAAGCCAATGGCCTGTGACCCCTGAGCACTCAACACCGTGTGGGAGTCAGTTTGTGATCAACTTCTTTTATGAGACAAATATAAGCAAACGTTTCCATATGGTGCGTCGGGATTTTTTGAGCATGCTCAAAAACGTGCGCCGAGCTCGACGCATGAATATACACGCCAAAGGCACGCCAGACATGCGCCGGAGCGCGCTAGACCAGCGCCAGACATGCGTGGAGCGCGCTAGACCAGCGCCAGACAAACGCGGAGCACACGCCCTGTATATACGCACAGCGCGCTAGCTACACGCCGTGCATTTTGTGTCAGCTCGCTAGCTTTTCCAAAATTATGACAAAAGTTAGGCACACGTTCTTTTCCGATTTCCAATGCGCTGGCCGTGCGTCGTAGAACGCGGTGCATGCGTGGACCATTCGTCCAGCGCGCTAGCAACACGCTGTGCATTCGTGGAAGTTGTTTTCATGTGCGCTCTGTGTGCGCCCTGTGAGCGCCCTGTGTGCGCCCTGTGTGCGCCCTGTATACGCCCTGTATGCGTCCAGCGCGCTATGCATTTGGTGTCAGCTAGCTGTATAGCTTCGACAAAAGTTGGGCGCACGACAACGCACTGGCCAAAATTGCAAATTTTCCATGCGCCGGCCGTGCGTCCCCATGCGTCCCCTCTGTGTGACCGGGCCTTTAGATCCCTTGTTGACCATACATTGCGAGACAAACGAATGTCACTATCGATATTATTTTCGATACTTTATCCGCAATGAGTAATATATTTAGCATTAAAAATGTTGTTGTTATACTTTTAATGGTCATAGACACCCATGAAGTTTGTTTGGTTGTTTTGTTAGTTTGTGAAATCAGCAGAGATAAATTACCACAAATAACATTTTGGGGTCCGATCTACAGTGTCTGAAAATGTGCCAAATATGGTCACCTATTGTTCAAAGTCTGAAACAAAGGCTTTCGCTAAATTCAATTACATTGGAAAGAATACAAAAGAAACATAAAACAGTGCAGGTCTTATCAACAAGTTGAAGACTTTGCTCCTACAAATCACAAATATTTTAAAGTTTAATTTGAAAAGTCTGACAAACAGTTTTCTATGATGTACGTCCGACGCCCCATATTTTTTCTTTATTTTCTACACTTTAAGTTTTTGGCTACTTTTGCTATGATGGATTGATAACCCAAGTCAGATTTTATACCACACTTGGTAATATAAAAACAACAACACTGTTTTCAAATCAAACAAGATTTGGCTTCATAATATGTATGAATGTCCAACCTTTCTGGAGTGATCCTACCTATATCACCTGTATGTTCATTTCCAATAAAAAATACAATTTTTAAAACGAACAACAGCAACACATTTATGATCTCAAAACTATTTCTTGGCTTGATTCTTCAGAAAGACATTTATATGTATATGCTTGACGGAAAACAATCTTTATCTTGATATAGCATTCAAGAGTGTTAAAATTGGTCATCCTTATCAGATTCAACATGTACTTAATTCTTTAAATAATTTCTATGTATTCACTCAATATTCTTTGGATCTGATAATTGTTTTGCTAAATTTAAAGGGAGTGAATCGTCAGTTTCCATCTGCAGAAGGCCATAATTCACTGACACCAGACTTGGTGGAAATACCAATAATGGGAGTATAAATCTGCACGCAGCAAACCCGTAGGCTAGTAAAGAATTACCCCTTAATCTCTCGGAGAGCTCGAGAGTCTTCGGGCAAAGCAAAGCATTACATAAGGTCCAATGATCATAAAAACTGAAGGCTAACCCTGATGATTGACAACACCTGTTATTGGGTAAACACCCGAACGGTGTCGAATTCCCCACGAAAACTTACTTCTAAAGCCCTGTCTTGTCTGATAGAATCAAAAAGAGCTTCACCCGGTCATTATATTTTTGATTAAAAATCAGGTCATACAGCATGCTATTTTGTTTTTGTTTATCTATTTCACATCTGAAAGTAATGGTTCTAATACTTGAAACAAAAACAAACTAGATGGAACTTCGACTGCGCGCAGTATAAACTGATGCCTCCGCCATAGAGCAATTTCACAAACCAAAACAGAAGCAATCTTTCAAATTCAAGTTTAACTGTAATCCATTAACAGGTTCTCAACACATCATGATTATACAAGCTATTTTTCATATACATGTATGACCCTTTTATGATCTTTGACCTCATGACCCTAAAATCTAATCAGTTAATTGGCTCAGCAAGATACATACATGTCCCCCGTTTGATAGTAATCTGTCCATCGGTTCTATAATGATGTGATCTCCAGCTATTTTTGCATTCTTATTGAACCCTGTGACCTTTGAATTCGTGACCCTAACATTTGATCAATTCATTGGCTCTGCAAGATACATACATTAACTAAATTCGGCAGGAATCTATCAATCGGTTCTTGAGATAACGCGATCACGAGAACGGGACGTACGTACGGACGGACGGACGGACAACCCGAAAACATAATGCCTCCGGCTACTTCGTAACGGAGGCATAAACATACTCTAAAAGTGCTCACAATAAAACATGAGAAAACATACCCAGCTGTAAACACTTAATGTTAGGTGTGTTTTCAGTTTTCTCTTGATGTCATCTAAAGTCTTACAATCCTGATATAAACGATCCAAATACTCAAAGGCTAAGGGGATATTAATGATAAAATTACATTTAGCAAGTAAAGTTCAAAGCAACTATTAAAGGATATGTATATGACCACTGTAAATTTTAATCAACTGGTAAGACATTGTCAAAAGATGATATCATTGCCACAGCTGGATCTAGGTCTTTCTTAAAAGATAGAGGGGGGGGGGGGGGGGCACAAGAAATAGAATCATGACAAGCAAAAATAAAAGGTCTAATGAATGTATAATAAATATGTAACTTGCAATGCCGGAATGATGAATAATTGCAGAAAGAGCATTTCTAATACTCATGTGGCTATACCCAGTACCGGTATAAAAAAAAACAATTAGGCCTACTATTAATTCGAGGGTTCAGTGACATAGACCCCGTTCTCACTCACTTTGAAAGTGGTCTTAGTTAGACCGCTCCAGACCGCTCCAGAGGAACGGGTCTTGAGGAACGGTTTGCGAGCGTTCACACTCCGAGCAGTTTTTATGGCTCAAACCGCTCCACAAGTCAAAGTGGTCTTGTTGCTATGGCAGCTCAGGTAGGCGGGTCAATTTTTTCGCGCGCGGAATCCAAACCCTATGTACCGTACTACATGTTTCGCACCGAAGGTCACTAGCTCACTTCCGTTCAAAGTACGCTTTCCGTTCACATTGCACGTTAGAGCGCTCTGGAGCGCTCTTAATAAGACCCGCTCCTCAAGACCACCTCGGAAGGTGGACTTCTGGAGCGGTCCAGAAGTCCGCTTCCTGGACCACTTTGAGCGTTCTCACTCACCTAAGAACCGCTCCTGAGGAGCGGGTCTAAGTTAGAGCGCTCCAGAGCGCTCCAACGAAGTGAGTGAGAACGGGGTCATAAAGACGTAACTCCATATTTTGCCAAAATGAGTATTTGATATCAAAATGTTCAGAACAATGTGGGCTCACCAGGAAAGACAAAGACCTAACTTCAGCCAACACCCCCATTGAAGTCAATGGCTAAGGCCCAAGTGCTCAGTGACACATGAACCACTTTTTCTCCAAAATGGCCATAATGGAGTTACGTCTCTGTGTCACTGGCCCCTCGGATTATCATTGATAAATGAGACCCTTACCTAGTTGATTACAGTTTGTACCAGTCCAGCCTGGTGGGCAGTTGCAGGAGTAGGAGCCAAAGACATCTAAAGTGCTACAGATACCGCCATTGAGACAGGGGTTCTGAGGCGCGCAGCCATCTATTGACATAAAGAATACATGGATATGAGTGTTTAAATTTAATAGTAAAGACAACAACAGCAACAATGATGATGATAAGGATCAAAATATACCAGGGAACCGGATGTCTGAAAGTGGGCCCTGCGTCCATGATGTGGTACAATAACTCAGTGGTGGAGCTGTGCTCTCGTAACCAGGAGGTCCCTGCATGAATTAAGTATGTCCTAACGACTCACCTTGGAAATTGCATGTTGGACCATAGAACCTTGAGTTGGGGCAGAAACAGGTGAATTGCAGTCCCTGGGACGTAATAGCTACGCACTGACCGCCATTGGAGCAAGGATTGGGCTGGCAAGGGTCTAGAACAAGAAAGGAAAATACAATTGAATATAATTCCAATTCATTCATCTCTCTGTAAAAGATAGTTTGATTTTCATGGTTTCGGTACTAACGAGGTGTACAGACTAGATAATAAATCGTATAAAGAAACGTATGAAGAAAATAATTAATTTCAGGTCAATTGACATGGCAGCTGGCTTATCATCACTGCGCACTCACCATAATCCCTGCCCCATTATACAATTTCTGTACAATATGACGTTCAGTTTATTATGGGACCCTGATTCTATTCCAGTTTTTATTTGAAATGATGCTAAAACGTGCGTTTTGCTTGACAACGTTTCGTTACAGGATGTTTCTTATATGGCATTCAGACTTGGACAAAATCTATATAATGAATTCTTGTAGTCTGAATACATAGTAAGAACTGTGTTTAATATACTGTAAAAGTAAAAATATTTGCGGTACATGCACATTTTTCGCTCTCAATAAGCTATATGATACTTACTTGTAAATTCACACCTCGGTCCACTAAAGCCTTGGGGACACCGACAAATTGATAACTGCTCTGTTTGATCTAACAGGCAAGTACCTTGATTTAGACAAGGGCTAAGTTGACAAGGATCTAGAAAAAAAAAATTAATGTTAAGTTTCTCTACAAAATAAAGTTATGAAGATGAAGTAAGTTGTATGTACGTTGTAGTTGGAAAAATACATTAGACGGATAAAACTATGTAAGTTTGCAGTTTCACCATGTGGGTACTCCTGAAAGAGACTGTTGGGTTTGAAAGGGGATATAAAACAAAATGAGAATAAGGGAGAAGTACTCTTTAAGTTTTAACCTGTACAGGACTACTTAATATTCTACTACTTAGAATTCCTTTGTGACTGAGGGGGAAGGGGGGAAACCTGAATTCAGACGAGGATTAAGAGTCGAGAACTGTACACTGCAAAAACAAGGGTGTTAATTTTAACACTTTCCCGGTATCTATATCGGAAAACACCAACTGGTGTTATTTAACACCAGGGTTTGGAATTAAACAATTCAATTCCAATTTTGGTGTTGAAGTAATTCTGCCTTTGGTGTTAAAATCTAACACCATTACTACAACTCGGTGTTAACGTTTCAATTCTAGTTTTGGGGTTAAAAAATCGCGGGTGCAAGTTTACGTATTTTTGACGTCGTGTTATGTCGTCTTAAAGACGTAGTACAAGACGTAAATAAGACGTGACCGTTACCCTAACCCGTAGCAATTACACCCGGGAGTATCTGTGACCTTGCACGAGGGTTGTCTGTTACATCAAAATGCAAATTAGATTCGCACGGTATAAGGCCCGGTCACACAAAGATGACGCATGGGGAACGCACGGCCAGCGCATGGGAAATTTGCAATTTTGGCCAGTGCGTTGTCGTGCGCCCAACTGTTTTCGAAGCTACAGCGAGCTGACACCAAATGCATAGCGTGTTGCTAGCGCGCTGAGCGCACACAGGGCGCATACATCGCGCATACAGACCGTACACAGAGCGCACATGATAACAACTTCCACGAATGCACAGCGTGTTGCTAGCGCGCTGGACGAATGGTCCACGCATGCACCGCGTTCTACGACGCACGGCCCGCGCATTGGAAATCGGAAAAGGCCGTGTGCCTAACTTTTGTCATAATTTTGGAAAAGCTAGCGAGCTGACAAAAAAATGCACAGCGTGTAGCTAGCGCGCTGTGCGTATGCAGGGCGTGTGCGCCGCGTATGTCTGGAGCTGGTCTAGCGCGCTCCACGCATGTCTGGCGTCAGTGGCGGATCCAGATTTGAGAAAAAAATCATGTAAAATCACGTGATTTTTACCTTTTTTGGGGGTTGGCCCCCCCCCCCTTGAGTCTTTAAGTGGGGAAAAAAAAAATGTGCTCACTACCCCCCCCCCCTCCATCCGCCACCCCCCCCCCCCCCACTGAGCGACTTTTCGGCCGGCGCGATTTTCAAATTTTCGTGAGCAAAAAAAAAAAAAATTGGGCCCCCTCCCCTAAGAAATCCTGGATCCGCGCCTGTCTGGCGTGCCTTTGGCGTGTACATTAATGCGTCAAGCTCCGCGCACACTTTTGAGCATGTTTAAAAAAAAAAAACCGACGCACACAGCGAATGACGACGAATGCATAGCGTGGGTCCAGCGCGCTCGACGAACGAGTAACGAATGATGACGCACGCCTAGCGAACGACAACGCACTGGCCAAAATTGCAAATTTTCCATGCGCCGGCCGTGCTTCCCCCATGCGTCCCCTCTGTGTGACCGGGCCTTTAGTTACGATGGTCGGTGGAAGGTCGTGTTAATTAACTAAGTCGTGGCAAGTTGGTCCAAGTAAGAGCGTGTGGACAACTAATGGTAAGTGAAATTTACATGAAGTATTTACTGCTGCAGGGATTACGCCTACTAGCAACAAGATTGACCGAAAGCTTCAGCTCTGATATCAACGGTTGTTCCGCTGAGATTACATCTGGCTTGCATGACCGCCTCTATAATGGTGGCGTGACCATAGTTCGCGCGTGATCTAAGTTCACTATCTAATAATATTGGTAAGATTTTGAAAACATTTAGTTTTCATTTTCACCGACTCAGACGATTGACCACATCTACATGTAATTCTCTGAACTGGTCAACTGATTCACTCACTTTACTTCATGTGTTATCCATTTGATATGTAACAAAATACAAAATTATTAACTTCCCCCAGCTCAGCATATGCTCACAAAAGAATTGCATTCTTCCATACAATACCTCCACATTACCTTTCTTTTCCTGGCTATGCTACGTACAGCACGTCTGACATAGCAACTCCTATATTGGTATTGTATTGTAGAGATATGAGTTTGAGGTATTGTGAATGGATATTTGAAAGCGTGTTCACTCGTCACACAACATAACTCTTATTACTATTTTAGCTACGAGGAAACAAGGTTGCACTGACAATAAAAATACATGAAAGAAAGTATTCCCTTTTCGTTAGTTTATTGGGTACTGATGAGGCTGGCCGTACACTTGGTAAAGTGTAGCCAAGCACAAGCCGAAGAATCGGAATGAGAATGCATAAATGAGAACTGAAGATATTGCACGTAGTTACATAATGATCAAAGATAAGAATGAACATGAATAAATGCGATGAATAAATAGAGCTTACGACATATATGAAATGCCGTCGAAAGTCCAATGAAGAAGAAGAGAGATGAAAACGAAGGAAGGGGCTCACGCGATGATGTGCGGAGGCTTGATGGCGGAAACGCGACTTCGTTGATTGATTGATTGATTTTTATTCGACAAGCTTCCAACATACAACAATATACAATAATAACAGATCAAAACAAGTCAGCTTGAACAGGATAACCCACGAAAGCTCGAGAGCTTATTTCCAGTGGGGTCCCTTACAGACATGTATAAAATTAATAAGTTAAAATAGTAATATTTACAGACAGATAAGAAAATTAAAAGAACTACTTATTAAAGATAATAATAATAACAACATTAAACTGATGATAGAAATGATATTAAGTACAAGAAGAAAAAGAAGAAGGAGAAGAAGAAAAAGAGGAGAAGGAAGAAGAGGAAAATAATGATGAATTTGTAGAAATTCTATGACGTACGAAAACATAAGTATATACAACATGAAAAAGTATGAACCGACAGAAGAATAAAAATTTCAATCATATAACATGTCATTCACTTCTCTTCTCTGACTGTCAAGTATTAGGTATTCCTTTAATTTCCTCTTAAAATGAACATAGTTTCCTATTTCTTTTACACCATTGGGAAGGGAATTCCAATGTTTTATGGCATTGTAATAAAACGAATTTCCAATACTACCTACTCTTTCAGGTAAGTTAAAGTTGAATCGTCTATTTCTTGTATTATAATCATGTACGTCAGTAACAAGATCGAAGTTGGATCGAATATAATGATTCGACCTAGTATGGTATATTTTATGCACATGATGCAATACGAGTTGTTTTGATCTTTGGTCGACTTCAAGAAAACCAGCTTTAGAAAGTTCGCTGTAGCCAACATGAGTTCTTGGACCAGAACAGTTGATAAATCTCACCATTTTGTTCTGTATAATCTTCAACTTCTTTTGATCTGACTTGTTTATGTTACTATACCATGCAGGGTTAGCATAGTCAAATAAACATTGAATAAGAGCAAAACAGAGTGTACGTCTTGCTTTTAAATCCATACAACTTTGATATCTGTACAAAAATTTCAGACGAGAATTTGCTTTTTTTACAACTGATTCTACTAAAGATGAAAATGAAATTGCGCTAGCCAACTCAATGCCTAAATACTTCACAGACTCTTTTCTCTTGATTGCTTGATTATTGTGTGTCACTTTGAATTCAAATGACTTTTTAGAACTACTTTTAGAACAAAATAAAATGCTTTCTGTTTTTCCCAAGTGTAAAGAAAGCTTATTATCAGTCATCCAATCGACACACGTAGACAGCTGTTCACTGAGCTTTTCCTCAATATATTTAGGATCAGGATTTGAATAGAGTAGTACGCTGTCATCTGCGTACAATAATAGTTTGAAGTCTTTTATACAAATACACATATCATTTATATAACTTGAAAATAGAATTGGGCCTAAAATGCTTCCCTGAGGAACACCGCAAGTTATAGGCATTAGTTTGGAACGAATATCATGAATGGC